TCAATTAACAATGGTAATTTCCATTCCTATGTTGATACGATATATCCTGGTGATCTTGAGATAAAAGATACCACAGAGTCTGATACATCTGTTTCGTACTTGGAAATTTTACTTGAAAAAGACACTAATGGTACTCTAACAACCAAGCTTTATGATAAACGTGAAGAATTTACTTTTCAATCGTCAACTTCCCTTACTTATGCAGCAATATACCATCATCACCTGCATACAGCGATTATCTCTCTCAGTTGATTTGATACGCAAGAAATGTACAATTTCTAAATCGAGGTAAATTATTGACAAAAAAGTTGATGAAACAAGAATATCAGCAGTCTCGTTTTAAATCGTCATTTCGTGAGTTCTATGGTCGATACAATGACCTTGTCAGCAAATACAATTAATCATTGAGTCAAATGCTGACGTTTTTCACACTGTTAGTCCATTATTTACACACTGAATAGACGACGGATTTTTTCGTTATTTCCCTATCATATGACAAGGAGCACCCGGTGGATGTGACCGGTCGGCAGTGGATGCTCACTCCTCGATGGCACCGGATCCCACCTCTGATATTTTGGAGGTCCGAGATTGCTCTGCTCCAAATTTGGGTTGGCAATAGATTTTTTGAGTTTGAATACTGTTCGTTATCTCTATATATTTCATTGTTAGAATTAACCTAAGCACAAAGATATGATAACCTTGCAGCAATTTTTTTTATCTTTAAAATCATTAAATATATTTTGTTTTGATCTTAATGATATTTTATTTCGATAGGAAAATTTTTAACACTGTTAAATTACAGATGTACATGAGTATAAAAACAGTCGGAAGCAAATCTCCTCAATAATTAAGTCTGACTTAAATATGCCGTTTCAACTTTGCTTCGGAATTATTTTCTGGTTTATTTGTTCATACACTTAGGGAATGTTTTTTTTTTCCCAAAATTCTGAAAAAATCTCTAAATATTTACAATCACGGAATAAATATAGTTGATATGATTGAATAAATATATGAATATTTCATACCCTTAATATTACATTTATATTACATATGTAAACTTGTCTCGGGTGTGGACATTTATTTCAGTAATCAATGTCAATCCAGAAAATTTAAGTTTTATTAGGTTTATTGTAATAATGGAGCGGTCTACAGAAAATGCTACTACTAGGCACTCCTCTGGTATTTCTGGGGTTCTGTATTTATGCCCTATTCACAGAATTGTATTTCTAAATAGTTTTTATGAGATCTACATAAAGTCTGTACGTTATTTTCATCTTTTTCATTGACAATATGACAAAATGTTAACTTTGCATTTAATGGCACCCGGAAAATTCACAAATAAAAATACGACAGTGAATATTTCAGTAGTTTTAAATAAAATTCCACGAAGCAGTAAGAGAATGTACATATATTAAAAACTAAGCTTATATCTAATATTTAAAAAAATAGTTTGCAGTGTTGGAATGTATAAACTTATCGTATAGATCTATGTATAGATCTGTATTTACATCATATTGTATTACTGTTATCCTTTTGGTACTTTCTCATGTTTATATGTTGACAAAGATTAAAAAAAGCATAACTAACTCTTTGAAATGCTTGCAACAATATGAAATATTAACTGCTCACTGTTTTATTTTTACATAGATACATATATATATATATATATATATATATATATATATATATATATATATATATATATATATATATATATATATATATATATATATATATATATATATATATATATATATACAGTAAAATTTGTTAATTCCGTCCGTCTGTACGTCTATTCCGTCTAATAATTTTAGTCCCATACACTTCTTTAACAAATTCATTAGAAAAAAATTCTGTGTAGTCCGGATACTGTCTATTCTGTATTCCAAACTCCATACTCAACTGCTCATAAATAACGGTAATTATTTTAATCCGGAAACTAATAACCTGAGTAACTTCAAGCAATTAACACCTTTCGTGGTGGATATGATAATCCGTGTTTACATTAAAATGATTAGTGCCATGAGACGAACTCATTGAAATGTTGAAATGTGGTTGACACAGCCCACTTCAGCTATATTATTAAATTACAATTTGGTATAACTTTGCCATTATATAAACACAAAATATAGATGTATGCGATTTACAAATCAAAATATAAATAGAAAATGACGCATTTCAAAATGGCGCCATAACACAGTAACCATTTTTCACATAAAAATTAAAAGTTCAATCGAATAATAAGCACATCGTAAATAATTGTGCATTACTGTACTGTGCTTGATATATAGTAAGCCTATATTATGCGTGCCTGTAGGTTTTGATTTTATAAATAGCATTTCAACCGACTTTCAAACTTGGGAACAAACAAAAAATATATGTAAGTCATGCGAGAATATTTTATAAAGACTCCAAAATATTGATTGATTTCATCATTTAACTGTATTTATATTATGTATATGAAGTTCTTGTAAATAAACAACGAAAATTTTCAAAATTAATATTTTCCTGCATTTTTCCTGTAGTGGCCAAATTATAAGGAATTGGAACCGGCGGTAGCCGGTTTGGACAAATTATACTGTATATATATATATATATATATATATATATATATATATATATATATATATATATATATATATATATATATATATATATATATATATATATATATCCTTTGATATAGTGAAGGACAATTTTTTATGCCTGTAGAAAATATTGCATGAATTGATTGTAGAAAAAATTAACACTGATATAAAACGATTTCCTTCATTTTAATTGAAGGATTTTGTCTGCCCTGGTGGATTCTTTTGGCGATCTAAAGGCGTTTGTATGAACAGTAAGTACTTTAACTCATTTCTATGACTTTGTACTTTCTTTCTTTGTTGTTGTTATTTTTTTTTAATTGATAAAATTTGGTGCTATGAAAATAGAATACCTGTATCATTAAATTAAATCGTCAGCCTATTCTCTAAATATGCTTATTCGTATACTATTGTATTTAAACAATATTTAATCAAGCGAAGAGAAATTTAATATCACAAAAGTTATATACATGTATATTTACATGTTTATTTCTTGATTCCTATTTTATTTTACCAGCGGTTAACAACTATTGCTTTTATGATAAGTGAGAGATCATTGTCAAATGGGATAAAGAAAAACATTGTCAATATCCGGGGGATTTATCTCATTTGAACAAATTTGTGGGAGCAAAAATCCCAATGGAGAAAATATCCCATATGACACCTTTTCTCTCAAGGAAGAAAGGTAGGAGAGAGTTGTTAGGACTTTTAAAATCCTACCATGTATTTTCCAAAGGGATTCTTACCTTTAGAACTTCATATCTTAAAAAATAAACATGTTTGTGAGTTCAACATGACAACATGTGATATGTAATATTTCAATTTTCTGTTATCCTTGAACTTTCAGTAAGGCGTGGCATTCTCGACGTTACATAGTTAGCATCTTAAATTTACACCAGCTTTCATTCACAGTTGAAATATACATGGGATAGAAATTCAGTCGAATGTCAACAAGTGTAGAAATGATCCAATAACAGAGTTTCGAACGGCAAAGAGGGAGGTGGGGTTTAAGTCGTCTCATCGTTGTCAACAACAATTTAAAGTTGCTATTGTTATTTATTTCTTAACCAATGAGAATATATTCGCCATTTGTGAGACGTTAATTATGTAGCGTCTAGAATGCCACGCCTCAGTGAAAGTCCAAGGATGACAGAGAATTGTACTAATTCCTAATTTATGGTTTATCGCCTGATGTTTGTGTTATTCAAATGTATGAATGGACCAAAAGAAAATAATAGTAGTAAATGAATCGAAATTATCTTATCATTTGTATGAGAAATAATTTCATGTCTTATAAGAAACAAGATTTTTTTTCAAAAGATACAAATAGAGCGGAATTGCCAGCAAATTTAGATGCCACTGAGAATTCTTTAGATGAGAATAAACACTCATTCAAACCATATCAATAGTCTCAGGATATAAATAATGTTTATTTTCCTCATATATATCTTGCTTTGTTTTAGATAATCTCGCCTTACACAAACCTGTGTTTATGAGTTCTGTATATGACGATCCTTTATACGCTTACCAGCGCCTTGGCAACGGTAGTCTCGCAGTAAATGGAGAAGTGCGGCCTGACGACACAGAGTGCTCATGTACTCACCTTGAAACAAAACCTTGGCTGACAATTGATATTTTGGATTTCTTCTTTGTCAGACGGGTGGTTTTTGTAAACAGAAAAACGTCAGGTATTTTTCTATTTTTAAAAAGTTTCTTTTTTTGAATTGGGGGGGGGAAAACTTTTATTGATTTTATTATACTCTTTCTTTTAAAATTTAATTTTTTTATATAATTTTGTTTTACCTTTAATTTAGTTTTTTTAACACAAAAAATTTTGGATTGGTATATATTTTAAGCACATGATTTTGTGAAATGACATAAATAATAAACCAAACTGTCACTGTTAACACCAACGAATGAAAATTTTCCGTTAGGTGCTGGATATGAGACGTTTGTTTGGCTTTCTATATAATTTTCAAAATTTCGAGCGGTCCAACATCTGGAAAACATTAATCAGGTCAAATTTAATTTTTTTTGCTGATTTCTAACATAAAAAGTTTGTTTTGTTACATACCTTAAACTATAAGAACAATTTTTTATAGGTATAACAATGTAATATAGGGGATGCTAAATCCTCCCGGGTAAATCCTTCCAGGGTTCAGTTTTTATGCCTTTTTACAGATTTGTAATGTTTACGAATTAATAAATATCTTCCATTGTTCATTATCTTCACTTTTCTTATTTTAAAATATACATGTTCTTTACACAAGTGCTTGAGTACAGGATCCCCCTTTCGAATATACATCTCATGTCTAAAGATATTTTTATTAATCTTTTTTTTTCATAAATTTATTGTATTTATATTCGGAAGGGGGTTTTAAAAGTCCACAAGCATTGTATTTTATTTATTTTTAGAATGGCGGTTGCATGATTTAAACGTGACGGTGGGGACAGACAACATAACGTTCCCGTGTTTTTGTGGATTCTTCCAAGGTCCTGGAACGTCTCACCAGGAGATAAATATGACGTGTGCAGAAACCTGTAGAGGGCGCTACGTACGTCTACAGATTACCTCCCCTTCTCCGGAACATTTACAGTTATGTGAAGTGGAAGTCTTTAGTGATTGTAATGTGTAGACTAATTTAATTCACCCTTAACAAAACAATGTTAAAGTAAACTTTTTTTTTTGCCACAGTATTTCAAAGTTTGTAGGTAACCAGGGGGTTAAAACATCTTAACACTTCCTGGCACTTTATATATTTTTATATGCAAAGTCTGAACCTTTTACATTCTTTCATTACCAAGTGCATGTAATGGACCAGACAAGGCTCTTGGTCCGTTCAAAGACAAACGCCATGCATGCGATCCCTTTATGTCAAGTATATATAATGAATTATCTTTGTTACCAAAACTTAAGTTACAGACATTTAAAACATAAGAAAACTTCATTGAGACAAGAAAGAAAACAGAAATCGGTTGTTTTGATATTTCTTTAAATATCCACAAATGGAAATGAGGCAGTAATCCTGGTGTTAACAGCAAATCACCGTCACCCAATCACACTAGATATAGCACCATCGTCTAAGAGACTTTGTAAAGGAAACGAAAATAAAATAATATATACAAATACAAGTAACATTTTTTTTATGACAACTGAAAGAAGTTAAAATAAGGTAACAACGGTAATAGTTTATTATTTAACGGCTTCTTAAATCTATAAATAATACAATTTTCAAATGAGAAAAAATTCCCTTATATGCTTTAGGCTTTACAACTTTAGGTTAGTCAAATAAGGTGTTTCGCATAATTTTAGGCAAACAAAATGAGAAACTGTATTTTAAACAGTCATTTTCAATGAAAAATTAAGAAAACCAGTCATGAAAATATCTGACAAAGGAAATGACGTTCTGCAGAAAAAGGTATTTTTTTCATGGCCTCTTCTTTAAATCAATTCAAATCTGATAGGTATTTTACTTTTCATATGATTTCAAATTGAATGTCATGAAAATAAACTAATTCTGCTAAACGTAAAAGTATAGGGAAAAAGAAAGTTGAAATTGATTACGACGTCATAATGGATCTAGCACCAAAAAAATCTGTTTCAATTTATTTACTAGATCTTGACCTTAAACATTAATTAAGTTTAAAACATATAATATAAAGGTTTCTGTGATATTTTGAAAAAAATATCTATTTGCAGAATTTTTTTTTCATGATTTTGATATTTTCCGAGCCAGGAAAACTAGCATGTAAAATATCAAACTTGCATTTAAAAAACAAACTAACAAACAAAAAGCAGTCTAAGTGCTCTTGTTTTGCATTAATTTCAAAAAAAAACAAAATTTTTTTAAGAATATGTAAGAAATGACATATTTCAAACTTGATTGCATGATATATGTACATCACTGCATAAAAAAGCTGGGTAATTAAATTTTAGCTTCATCCTTTAATTCAGAATTACTTTGCAATCATCGTTAACTAATCTAATAACTGTCAAAAAGTTTTTTAAAAAAAACAAACAAACAAAGAAAAAAACAGAATATATCCAATACCTTCGGCATTTTGAAAAGGAATGAAGCAGGCACTCCATTTAATTGTATATACTTACGAAGATTCGCAGATGAATCTATGTCTAGCGATACAGGGGAGATCATTCCAGTGGTAGTCCATGGCCCCCTGAAGCTCTATACAGTCCTCCCCGCTATTGCCATAATCGTCCGGTTGCCCTGGATTCCAGTCTGTGAAGGTCACGGGGTTACCACTTTTGGCCCACGTGAAGGTTCCCTCAATTTCCATGTCATTCCCTCCTAGCCAGTAAGACACTTCATTTTGATTCTTAGAATGGGAATCTGTGAATAGAGATGCGTTTACTTATTCAAATGTTTACGACAATCAAAAAACTACCTAACTATTAAACTAATGCACGTTGTAAAAGGGTCTGAGGAAAATACATGCACATCAATTTGAAGATTAAAAACTTCGTACCATGACCATGGATGATCTTCAGTTCGCCTTCTAGGAATGCATTCTCAGTGGCGCTTCCTATTTCCACAAGATTTGAGTTCATACTCATGCAATATGCCTATAACAGATATTGTCATCGTGATTATTTCTTTTAATTCATCTTTGTTATGAATTAGTTGATTTTTAAAAAACAAAATATCTTACCACAGCTTCCGCCCAAGTCGCTGCTTCACTGGCGAATAAATAACAGCTGCCTTGAAACTTCGTCCATCCATCTCGACAGTCGCCCCGCACTGAAAAGGAATGTCTCCAAAAGAGAGGGGTGTTATGGAAGGACTTTATGCACAGTTATAATAAGCACTCAAAAATAAGCATGTGGGAATAAAGATGTCTTTAACATAGGGAAATCCAAAGTATAGCTGTTTCTCTAAGACTAAAAACATTTTCTATACATCAAGGAGTTTTTCTACTAATACACACCTTATCCAATATTATGTGCTGAGTAAATATTGCTTATCTCTCAATTCAATCTTCCTCTAGTAAATCTAGCTCTGATAATTGGGATTTTGGGGAGACTCTTAATATACTACCAAAAGGATACATTGCTTACATAGTATTTTAACTCTTTTTCAAAAATTCAATTAAAAAATATAAACTTACCGGGGTATATGAAGTGTACAAACACAGAAAGCAATACAAATGATAGATACGAGACCAGGCAGGTCATTTTTCTGAAGTCTCACTAGTCCTGATAAGATGAAATAGTCATTAGTAAAGTGCATTCTGATAAGGTCCAAAAGTCCAAAAGAGGAACATACATTTGCACTGTATGATCTCTCTCTCTCTCTCTCTCTCTCTCTCTCTCTCTCTCTCTCTCTCATTATATGTTGTTGCTTTTTAATATATGAAAACTTATATACTTTGTATTTCTAAATCAAAATAAGAGAAGAGCGGTTCATTCTTTACTAGTGCTCTTTTTAAAACATTTTTCATCATCCCAAAGAATTAGAGATGATTGTTGATTGATAACGATTATATAAATCAAGCAATTTTACAATGAAAAACGTGTATATTGAATCACAATTTTTAATGGTAAAAAAGTTTATCGTCCTTAAGATGCGTTCTACTGAGGAGATTTACTGCTCGGGGTACCATGGAAAGTTATACTGGAGAACTTGTAATGTGTCAGAACTTGCTACCAATCCTTCGGTGTTTCACAATAAAATTTGTTCAAATCCTAGAAAAATTTCGTGGACATTTCAGATTGAGGTCTACACTGTACATCTATGAAGGACGTAGGTTAGACCTGAGAACAAATCGAATTTCATAATCTTTTGGTTGAAGACTAACGCCGGGCACCATTTCTCGCGGTAAGAGATCCTCCAAAGATTTCCCTTCGGGCTCCAAAATCGTTGTTTGTTGCATTATAGTTGCCAGAAATAAAAATATGCGTGATCTTGCAAAAACTTCGCCGATACAACTTCTCTTGCCAAATCCAAAAGCAATGACTCTAAAAGAACATTTTTAATTGATGCTAAAGAAAAGCCAAAGTACATATTCATTTGCATAATCTGCTAAGTCATAGTCATTCGAAAATCATACCTCTTTCTGATGGGGTTATTGGAGGGTAGCAATAAGCCCTCGGCGTCCAGAAAACGTTCTGGTTTAAACTTGAATGGTTCATCCCACTCTTTTTCACTATGGTGAATTGTCCAAAGGTTTGGTACAATCTGTATGGAACAGACGATAGCTCATATATAGATAAGATACAAATACAACTTCGTGCATATCATACAGGAAAAACCTTTCAATATATCTTTTATCTGAATTGGAAGCAAAAAAGTTATCAAAAAAGATCAAATATAATTTATCAAACTTTAACTTACGACTGTGTTTTTGTCAATACTGTAACCCCCTATGGTGGTCGCCTGTGACGTAGCATGGAGTAAGGACAGTGGAACATGGGAAATATAACGAAGTGTTTCTATGACAACGGCCTCGGCTAGGTGACATTTCTCTCTGTCGGCGAGACAAGGTTCTCTATCAGGACCGATCACTCTGTCTATTTCTTGTTGTAAGGCCTTCTGGAGGTCTGGTCTCTTCGCTAGAAGTTGAATCATGGACAAAATAGTCCCTCTTGTTGTCAGAAAACCTAAAAATAAAACAACAAAGAACTTGATTTATCTGATGATTATAATGATAATAATGGATGATATATAGTGTATACATGTATATATGTTTTGGGTCTAGGTACTACTTTTCTTCTTTGTTACTATATTTACCAGCAACTACAAGATTCATGAGAAGATTTGATAAATTGTCTTTTGTGAACCACTGCTTCCCTTGCTCATCTCTCTGATTCATGACGTCAACAACTGTGTGATAAACTCCCTTTTCCGTTGTATCCGCTTTCTGCAAATTTTTTTTTTCAAAGTTAATTAAGTTTTTTGTGATATTTGTCATCATATGAATTAACTCTTAAACGGACATGGACACAGTTTCAGCTGAAAATGTTCAAATTTATTTATCCATTTTGACAAATATTTAACAAAGGCTGGCACGTAGCATCGTTTTTGAAAGTGTGGGGGGGCCAACCAGAGAAAATTTTTTTTACTTACCTGAAAAAAGTTGACAAGCAGAGGGGTAGAAAAAAAAAAAAAATTTGTTCAAAAAGTTACTAATCACTTATTTTTTTTACAATTCTTGATATCATTACTATGGCAAAATGTGGGGGGCCAACCATCCTTTCAATGAACATTTACCATAGTAAAGATAATGGGGAAAAAAAGTAAAATGAAAGATTTTTCTAATGATCATCGAAAATTTCAATTTCAGTTGTCGAGATACAAGACAGATTTAGAGCTCCAAACCTTTATTATGTAAACAGGGTCCGTGTTATGTTTTTGTTTACATAGGTTAATATACTAACATATGTTCGTTCAAAGCAGATAATTTCAGTAAATGAATTAATTCTAAATACGATGAGACAGTTTCTAGTGATTGTTGAATTTCATTTTGCTATAAATATGATGTTTTCTTTATGTAAACACACGCACAAGGCACGAGCCTTGTTTACATTATAAAGAACTTTAAGTTCTGTATCATGTTTGTTAATCATCAAATGATGTTTTAATTTTTGCTGATCATTAGATGATACCTTAGTTAGGAATTGTAAACATAAAAATTGGTTTTAAAAAAATCTGCTGAAACTGTGTCCATGTCCCTTTAAGATTAATTTTTTTAACAATGATAGGCACAAAAAGATAACATGTTAAGATATATTACCGACAATAATTCCATGAGGTCCAGCATACGTTGTTTTGTCTTTTGGATCTCTTTGAACATCAATGACGTTCTCAGAGGAAGAAAACGCAGAAATGGGAAGAGACTGTACACAACATCAATTCCTGGGTTAGCTGTGGCGTTAATTAGAAAGTCAAGTTTTCTTAACACCTTTTGCAATTCTCCATTTTTTCCAGAACTTTGTCCAATGATCTATTTCAGATATAAAGACTACATATATCAGGAGTTAATTTAAGCATTAATGATTACTTCATTTTCATTTTTTTACTTACTAGAATTTCTAATGTATATAGTATGAACTCTTCTACCATGTCAGATGGATCGACATTTTTGTTATCCAAGTGTCGAATTTCCTCCGAAACCGTTCGGAGCTTTTTCTTGATCTGATATTCAATGCAGGATAATCCGTCTCCATAAGATCTGATCAGCTGAAAGGCCAGCTTTCTACGTTTGGTCCACGCTGAATCAGGTGATGCAAATGCAATATCTGAATAATTATCAAAAATATATTCCCCGACGAAGGTTTGTGGGCGTGCAGAAGTGATGCTTGCATTTGGTTCTTTGCTAAAAGCCTCCCTCAGAATATCAGAGGAATTCAGACTGACAAATTTCTTTCTGAACACCTCAAATTGAAAAATGTCCCCATACTTTGCACTCCACTCAAAGAGTTTAAAATGTAAGGTCGAAAGATCAAACTCAAAAAGTACACCAACGGCAGGCCAGCCTTTGGGACCAGGTAAAACTTTTCTCGACGAACGGATGGTCCATTGCACGGTATAGTACACGGAAAAACATATCAGACTCCAGAATAATACGAACTCCAACATACCAGTATTAATAAATTTAACTCCTTAAAATCTATGTACTGCTCATGTAGCTGAATGGTCAGTGCTGATCTGATTTACCTTCCAGGTGAAGGACAAGAGTGGACGGCGTGTTTACATAGTAAAGTAAGTACATACTGATAACGTTCAATACGAGGGTTTTTCAATAAATAATGTCCTCGGTGCTCAGAAAGCAACAAAAACGCTATTCAAGGATTTAGCCTTAGTGATTTTACTTCAATATTCTTTTTTAATTGAAACACATGTCCGTAACATTTTTATCAATTTCTTATTGTTTTTAAAACACATTTTTGAGCACTGTCCTTCGTATACTGGTATGTGGCAGATTTTATGATTTCCATGACTTGTTTCTTCTTTCTAAAAGGTGTTTTTTTTTCAAGTTTGGAAAATGAAAAAAAAGTGAAAGTGTGAAAGATCTGGCGAATATTGTTGATTTGACAAAACATTAACTTTCTGTTTATCCCCAAAACTACTTTACTCCTCGTGGCCTGTGGGTTTGGTCGCTGTCATGACGAAATTTCATGTAGTGGTTTCATGATTTTGGTTTCGATTTTCTTTGCAAAACTTTGCTTTCTAGACTGTTGTTTGTTAAAATTTATGTTTAAGCCTAGACATCTCTATGTTGTATAGAGTTTGGTTGTTTTCTCCTGGATTTGCTGATATGTGGATGAGATGCATGAGACATAGGCCGTCGGCATAATCCAGATCATCCAGTTTGTTGTCCATTCTCAATCTAATGCCGTTTTTCTTATCTCTGGTGGATTTTCTCAGGACCCAGTCTATAACCTCTAAGAAGAGCAGAGGCGATAGCATACAGCTCTGCTTCAGTCCCGATGTTACTGGAAACCACTCTGTTTTGGCATTTTAACCATCACACTACGCTGGAATCCTTCATGCAGTACCATGATGATATCAATGATCTTCGGTGGTAGGCCATACAGTCTCAAGAGCTTCCATAAACTTTCCCGTTATACACTATTAAAGGCCTTTTCAAAGTCTACAAAGTAAATTAAGGTATAAAGAATACTGCCATTCTATTGACTGCTCGATCTATGATATTTCGTAATACGAAAATTTGGTCGCAACATGATCTTCCTGGTCTAAACCCTGCTTGCTCCTCTCTCAGTTTTGCATCGACTTGTTGTTTTACTCTGTCTAAAAGCACTCTGGTAAACACTTTACTTATTGTGGGTGAAAGTGTTATTCCACGCCAGTTGTTGCATTCTGATTTATCTCCCCCTTTTTTGGTAGTTCTATAATTAGTCCGTTTTTCCACTCTGTTGGTACCATGTTGGTTGTCCAAATGTCTTGGAGTTCGATTTAATACACTGTGCAGTTGGTTGTAAAAGATATCTTTCTCTTCATCATTTGCATCATTAGTTGGTGAGTAACACTGAATCACACTGAGCTTGATGTGTTTCGAATCGATCCAAGCATATAATATTCGGGCATTCACTGGGTAGTACCACTCTATCAATGCTTTAGTTGTTTCCTTGCTCATCATTATTGCAACACCACTCTGGTGATCTTGATCCTTCCCTGAGTATATGATGGTTTCACCACTACTGCAAGTCATTTTTCCAGAGCCTGTCTACCGTGCTTCTTTTATACCCAGAATGCTGATGTAATAATGACTCATCTTTTTAGCAGTCTGTGCTGCTCTGCTAATTTCAAACATAGTCCGCACATTCCATGCTGCTATGTTAATAATAATAATAATACTTTACTTATAGAAGGTAACCCGATTAGTGCAAGCACTAGTCTTCCTCAGGGCCTTCTTTATAACATATATACAATGTTTTATACAATAACGACAATAATTACAAATATGACAAAATAAATATATATATATATATATATATATATATATATATATATATATATATATATATATATATATATATATATATATATAAATGTTGATGTTCTTGTTTGGTCTCAGAAGGTAGCTTCTCAGTCTAGTAGTTCTCTGCTGATTTTCCTGACTAGACGTCATGCTTTCGTTTCCAATGTTACCCACTAAAGAACCAGGTGAAACGTTTCTCTGTGCGTCTGTTTCTGTAGTCAGTGTTTACCACAGAAGGGGTGACTGGCCCTATGCTGCAGGCGTAGCCCCGTTAGCCGGCATTACCCGTTTCCACCTCCTACGACGGGGACGTGGGGCTTAGTCTTCAGGAGGCTGAAATAAGACACCAGTAAAAAGACACCGTCTCACAACTGTTTCATATTTGGATAATTTGTTGATTTTAGACAATAAGAGCTAACCAACAACAAAATTGAACAGCTGTGATGAGTTAAGCTTTTCCAGCATCAACTTTAATATTTCCGTAGCAATATTTTGCTAATCATCTGAAATTAGTGATTGTCTCCCAAATCATTCCAAAATCGAGCATGCTGCAAGTATGGACCAAGATGAGCTTCTAACAGATAATTTGATATTACAGGAATTTCAAACCTAGCTTGAAGTCGACATTTCTTAAATTTTATTGTCGTTAAAATGACTTTACTGATAAATATAACATATCATAGGGTCGTATTGTGACTAACTTGCCAATTGTTATATTTACGATTTTATACTGAATTTGACCGCGGAATGTTCCATCTACCTGATCAATACATAGGGCTAATGACAGGTGTGTCTGGTGGACAGGGAATGTTTACTCCTCCTATGCACCTGATCCCATTTCACATTATTCAATACTTAAGAACATGCTTCAAGCACTACATTATTTATTACACCAATTCAGACTAATGACAGCTTGTTGACGTTACATTTTCAACAACATAGTTGAGAGTAAAAAAATGTATCTTCTTAAGTTGTTTTCATTGTTAGCAAATACAGCTTATCACTGGGTTGCATTTTGACCTGTTTTGTTCTAATTGTCAGGCCTTATTCTTTTTTAATACTTATTTTGGATGCTCTGTCTACCATTTATTTTTTTTAATTCTGTCTACAGCCTGTACCTGATAAATACATTGGGCTCAAAGCAAGTCAGACTGGTCAACAGGGGACCTTTAAATTGGATGCTTTACAATACATCCACAAAAAGGAAATATTTGAAAACTATTCTTGTTCTCATTTAATTCCTGGATTTACACAATAAAGAATAACATTTAACTTGTTTTAATTCCAGTTTATTTGTGACAACACTGATAATGTTATTCTTTGTACTATGCTCTCCTAAGTCTACAAAAGTTGGACAATATGAGAAATATTTCATTCATGGTCCCTTGTAATTTCTTTTTTCAAAACAAGAGATTGAAACAAATTTCCTTAAAAACTTATGGTCCCTTTTCAAAACTGAGAGGGCAAAAATGCAACAGGACTGGAAAATTAATAAATGAGATTCAATAAACAATTTGTTTTTTTTTATAGAAGAAAACCATCTTAAATATAAAATAATCTTTTAAATGCTTAAATGTTTGACAAAAATGGACAATATTTATATATGTCTAGATACAAATTAAATGATAAAAGATATCTATGAGGTTCTCGAGATTTACAACATATAAACTAAATCTGATAAAATAAGATGCATTTACAAAGTGTATAAAAATATTTTCCATGCACATGGAAACAACAATTGCTTTAAAGTTAACACATTTCCATACCAGAGTAAAATAAATCAATAACTTATCAATATGAACAAAGCAAAAAGCAGTTCTATTGATTAAATAAAAAATTAAGTTCTGTCTAGAAGGAACAATCTCTTAATAAGCGCATTAAACTGTAAAATAAACTGGTGTTATGAAATTATCTTCAACCTTCCAAAATTCTTTTAATTTTTTATGTTGCACTTTTTTGAAAAAAGGTTTTTGTGAAAGAAGTAAATTCACGTTTTGAAGAATATTGCAAACCTAGTTCAACAATGAATTCATTTCGGTCTTCCATTCCAACATCTAAAAAATTAAATCTTAACATGGTCCAATTTCGATGTATACATAATCATGCAATAAACAGTATAAACATGATAAATTGACAACACATATGGCGTTTGATACTGCACAATGGTTAACAAGAGGTACTCGTAAATGACATCACAACCTAGGAGTTAATGTCAATATAACTACAGCCATTATGTACATATCTCAATTAACAACAAAAAACAATGCAGTGGTGATAGACTTGGGTTTTTTGGAATCATAAAATAATATTCATTCCTATGAAAAATTGTCTAGATATAACATCATCTTTTTGCTCTATTTATTTCTTAAAATCTCTAAATCTATTACAAACTGATTAAAATAAGGAACTTGTAAATTTCTGGTTTCAGTAAAAAGAGTCACTCTCAACATACTTAAAACATAAACTAAAAGATAACAGACATTTACAAACTTTGAATTACATTTGTTTATGTAAAACTTCATACTAGTGATTTTTAAAAAAGATTAAAAACATATGGAGTAAAACTTAAAAAGAAACATTTTTTTATTAGATTATAAATAAGCATGTAATAAAAATTTAACTTATGCCCCTCTTGCCTTCAGCCATGGTTGTTATGTGGAAGTCAAATTGGAGTGTAAATTGGGAAAAGTAAATGAAGAAGTGTTTTTAAAGTAAATAAAAGATTTTAAAAGAAAAAAATGTTCTTTAAAATAACAATATTGCAAATATTTAAATAATTAGTTTTTTTCTGCTTAATTTGATTAAAATTAAAAAATAATAAAAATAAAAATTCAAAACCAAATAAAGATACAGTATAAAAAAGAAAAAAGAATTCAAATTATACAGCAAAACCAAATGTTCAAAATTCATATTTTCTTAATTAGAAATACAAGAATATACAAAAAGTTTTTCTCATATGACCTCCTTAATGCTAATTGTGACGTCATTAAATTTTCGTACTTTCTTAAAAAGTTGCAGAAGACATCAATTTTCAGTGGAATTTTCTTCAAGAAAACATTTGCCACCGTCCCGGGAAAGATTTTGAAATATGTGATTTTTCAAAAAAGTTTACATAATATATCCAAAAATTGAACTGGGCGACGGTGACAGACACTATTTTCTAAAGGAGAACTAGCACAGAAATGAGACATTCTGAGACTTTTCTGCATTAAACTTAGAAAACCTAATTAATGGCGTCAACTATACTCAGAAAGGTCCTCATTCATGCCATAAATTATACAGCATAATTTCTTTAACAGAACTTTGGCAGGGCGAATTTAAAACGGGGCAAGTGTTTGCAAGTGCAAAAGGGCGAAAATAACACGGGGCGAAAATAACCCTGTATACAGTAAACAAATAACTAACAAAGAATGATCACCTTTTTGATGTTACAATACATATACATGTATGTAATTGGAAATGTTGACGTCAACACCAGTAACCAACAACATATTAACCTTAACACAGAAAATAATGCCTAAAGTCGCTAGGCATTCTCCGATAAAGGTCAGTCTGACTAAAAACCTGGATCCACCTGTGTAACACTTAGATCCATCTCTGTACATCACTCAGCCTGTGTGTTGTAAAGTTTGTCCAAATCCAAAACCTTTTGGTCCAAAATGTTTTCCATAACAAGCTACAAGATAACATTATAAAGATAAATATTCTGTAGATGACTGAGGCCAGGACGATAAGAATTGGGGAAAATAGTGACCTATGGGGTTAATTTGGGGAAATAATCATTTTATGCTTAAACAATTTGAATACTTGGCATTTGTTGGTTGCTAGATATCTATTATCAAATAGAAAGGAATATTAATTACATGGGAATATTATACATTCTGTATATTCAACATAATGTTCTTTCATTTTTGGTAGAAATGTTTATACATCCCCCTCCCCCCAAAAAAACTTTTTTTTTTATTTGGACAGGGCCTTTTCAATGACCCAATCATAGACAATTAAGTTTTGTGACCATACCTTCAGGTTTAATAAATACTTTTTTTTATTTTAAAGTACAATCAGATGAGTGGATACTCACATTTACAGAAAATGTCTCCCTCTGCCTGAGTTACTGTGGTGGAGTCTAGTTTCTTACTGCAGGCTGTGCAATTAAAACAGGCTTTGTGATAGATCTAAAATAAAAAGAACATACACAACATCTACAAAACATACTGACATGGCATTGTTCTGTTGATAACATAATTTATCAAGTAAAATACACACTTAAAAAAAATTGACAAAATTGATAAGTAATACACAGCTTATTATCAGCTATAGACTAACATCCAAACATATCCCTTATTCAACTACCAGGGTAATTTTACAGAATACTTACGCCACCCCCTGCCATGATTTTCTCAGCAAAATACACGGCCTGGTTGCACCTTCCACAAATGTCTGATGACCCATAACCCCCTGACTTCCTGTTCTCATTCTCCAGTAATGGCGCTGCCTGGGCCACAGCATAAGACGAGACATTCCTAGTGACAAAGAACAATACTGCATTAATGAACACTAAAAAATTAATTTAAAAACAAATATTTGACAATAAAATTCAATCAATTTCGGGGGAAAAAATTTTATCTTGGAATTTTGAACATTCATTGTAACATTTTAACAAGGGAATATTTATTTTCTAGATGCAAGAGAAAAAATTTGCCACCGATTTCCTGAATAGATTAAAAAAAAGTACACATAAATCAGAGATGAAGTCAATTTACAAGTATGTCTGAGTACTGTATACATGGAAATTTTTGCCCCCACTTTATTTTCGCCTCTTTCGCCCTTATCCTGATTGGGCGAATTTAAAATGGTGCAAATTCAAATTACACAGCATAATTTCTTAAACAAAAATATGACTGGGCGAATTTGTAACGGGGGAAAATGTTCGCAAGTGCAAAAGGGCGAAAATAACACGGGGCGAAAATAACCCTGTATACAGTATTTTCATGTGGAAATGGACTCACTCTTTGGTCACTTGGTGCGGGTTCCCAGTATCCATAGAAAGTCCTGAAGCCCCAGCAGCAAATCCGTATCCTTTTGGTCCAAAAAGTTTTCCGTGGCAGGTCTTACAAAATACCTCATCGTTATGGTCCGTACAATTCGTACTGTCTAGTCCCTTGTTACAATTAGCTAATAAAATTAAATAAAATAGCACCTTCAGGTTTATGTTCCAGTAAAGCTCAAAACGGAAATAAACCAAACAATCCAAAGAATTTAAAACCTAACCTAAAGTCCTAAACACATATAAAATTATGACTGTTTCTTTGAATGTTTATATTTCATAAACTGAACAACAAGCATGGCTCTCTGCTACTTACATGATTACAAAGATTAAGAGTCATTCTCTGTAAGCATCAAAATGGGCTGGAAATTGAAAATCACGGATTTTGCTGAAACTTTGTGAAATAGTTACATTATAGGCCCAATTTACAAAAATATTATTAAAAGGGATCATTTGGTCTTGTTTCCATGGCAACCAGGTTACCTGTTTTTTCACATAGTGGTAAATACCTAAATTGATATTTCTTCCCATTCATGTACATTTAATTAAATAAAGGTGATTATTCTTATTTTTTCCTTTGAGATAATTTGTTATTTGTATTTTCTATTTTAAAAAAATGAAAAAAAATTTTTTGGACTTGCTGTTATATGCCAAATAACATAAAAAATTGCTTTAAAAAAGGGGGGTTAACCATAACAATGTGTACAAAAAACGCAGGCACTGGTGGAATATTTTTATACTCTGAATTACACCTTATACATTTATGAAGAACATATGAAAAAACTGGAGAGGTATTATTCAATTTAAGAAAATAAATTGATTGTAAAGTTTGTAAAAATCTCTAAATTTACACATATTTTTGACAAGAGTTATTTCCCCTTTCGGAAATCTTTTGCTTAAATCAATGAAAATGAAAGTGAAAGTAAACAGCAGAAAACGACTTTGAGGAGTAAATACTGTCTGTTTTGAATATTTTTAGGGGTTTTAATCAAAGTTGTGAAGTATTTAACATTACCCATAGTTAAACTTTTAAATGATTGTTTAGGCTTTACTGTGACTGAGAGATACATGTTTGTGTTTAACTTAAGATGCGATAAGCATCTTATGAAATTCTTGCCTCTGTCAGTCTGTGACAACAAGTGCTTCATGGAAAAAAATTAATTGAAAACAAAGTAACATCAGTTAAATAGACTTCAGACCTATTAAGGTGGGATAATAAGGTTGTGATGAAGAAATGGCATTCAGAAGATCACTAGGCAAGTACCAATGAAATATTTACCTCGTACATTGAAAGTTGCACATATTTTGTAAGAGTTTATGGATAATAGGGTAGGCCTATTTACTTAAAAAAAACATTAAAGTAACCGAAGCATAAATAATGACATGATTCTAATTATATCAATAATTTATAGTATAGACAATTAGACATTCTTCTCAATCTTATTAAAATCAGATGTTGATAAAAATTATATAAACCATCTGTTGATAAAAATCATATATGTAAACCTAATTAGACTAAATTAATTCTGTATATATGATAAAAGCTAAATACCTCATAACAGCTTTTGAATTCTGTGCTTGAAAAAAAGGGGGGGGGGAAGTTATTGCCATGCATGTAAGGTATTTCATCAATTTTTTAAAAAATTAGTTTCATTTATACATTTAAGTTTTTAGGGAAATACGGATTTTTCAGTGGAAAGGCGTTCATTTTACGTGCATGCAGAAATTTGGGATATGTAAGGTGGTTGTTGTTGAAATAATGGATTTATGTGCCCAAATTATACCAGAAAAAAAAATAATATTTGATTTTGTCATATTTTATAAGGACATCTCAGTATTCCATTTATTACAGACTTTATGTTTTGAAAAATATTTCTAATAAGCTTTCCAAAAAGTGTTTGATAAAAATAAGTTAATATTTTAACTTGAAAAAAAAACTAATACAAATAAATTACCCCCCCCCTTGGGGAATCTTCAACAAATCTTTGTTTATGTACGGTAGGACAGACACACGAATAAAGAGGAAATGGACATCAGATTTAAGAAACTCAAATGTTACCCAACTATGCCACAATACACATGATACATGCCTTAGCAAATACGGTACTAAAATTTCAAGCATTTTCAATGAATAGTGATACTTGTGTAATTGCGGAGAAAACTGCAATTAAATATTTGCTACGTTCAGACATACAGGCAGCCAGACAGACAGACGAACAGACTGACACACAAAGGTAAGTATATTCATAGTGGTGGTATAATAATCCTTACAAAAGGAACAGTGAAAGATCATATTTTTTATGACTATGTGCTTGTCCTACTTAAACTAAGAAGTGCATGTACACGTTAAAACTTATTATATATGTTTCAATCAATAAAGCAAGTTGCTTCCAAAAGATCGGTCATGATTTTATTTCATTATTTATTGTTTCCATGGAAAAAAATACCGCTGCAGTAATTCAGATATATGTCAGTTTAAGTTTGAGTTCATCTGTTTTTTGTCCCCGTAAATAAATTAATTAGAAGTAGAAACAAACATTGGTGGCAGCGCTATGAGTTTTGTGTACTGGTACATCAATACTTATTTGGATCATTCCTGAATATTTGGTTACCATAGAAACTGTTGTTTTTTTTATTAAATTATGAATTTATAATCTTTTTTCATGTAAGTGAAATGACAAGGTTTATGGAATTTATTTTATTGAAGAAGACACATAATCGTGCAATAAAGCAGTAGATTTTGTATATAAACATATCAATGAAAAGGGATTTTCCTGAACTATTGGCTGCCATAGCAACCATTTTAAAAAATAAATTATGAATAACTATTTTGATATTTAGTGAAAAACAATTAAATTCAATTCATTTTACTGAAAAGGAGAAAAAAATAATGAATGAACTATGATATTAAACTTGTCAGTATAACAAAATTTGTGAAAGCAACCAATATAAGGAAGTGTTCAAAAACTATCTGGTTACCATAGCAACGTGATTTTAGATGCTTGAATTTTTATTTATTTTTCTTTAAAATGTACATTAAGTGAAATAACAAATATAATAAGTGTTGTCTATTATTTGAAGAAATTAAATCATGCACCAAGGCCACAGATTTGCATAATGATAACGTCAATAGCTACATGATTTTTCCTGACTTTTTGGTTGCTATAGTAACAGATTTTTTTTTGTTTAATTTATAAACTTACTTATTTATCATAATATTTTAAAATTATGATGTTTAGTAGTGTGATTTGGTTTACTTTTGACCTTTTTTAATGTAATGATGTATATACAAATTAATCCAAAATCTCCATAGCAACCATTTTCATTTTCGTTTTATTTTATTTTAAGAAATAATACCTCTCTAGAAATTTTATATTTTGTTGAGTTAGGAATGACCTTTTCAGTGATGATAGTTGTTTGTTATGGATTGCCCGCGTTTTCTTGCTACAATGCTTAGAAAATGCCAAATATTGGCATTTTTTTCAAATTTGTAAAATTTTGAAAAATTCACACTTTTCACTGGAACACAACTCTTTTATACTACAGAATAATTTCATCAGTTGTGGTAGTTTCCACAAATAGTCTACCAGAGTAGACAACAATTAAATCTGTAAATAATATACAGAAAATAGAAATTTATGACGAAGATGGTATACTTTCAGTAGGTTGCTCTGTATTTTTGGCCTCAAAATGGTGGTTTTGGTTACCATGGCAAACAAAATAAAAAATTAACCCCAAAAATGTTCTATACATGGTGTTTCTACATTGCATGCAAAAAATCAGCAAAATCTGTGATGTACCATTTCCAACTTTTTTCTAAATTCTTTAATTCTTACAGAGAATGACTCTTAAAAAGATTAACAGACAATAATGACTTATTTTGATATTGGCCTTTTCTGACGAAATTAAACATTTAACCTATTAAAAGCATTTATTTATCAAAATGAAAAGTTCTCTTAAGAACATGGTATATTTTCTTACCACATCTTAGACACAGTTTGTGGTACTTCTTGCCCATGGCTCGGACCTCCTCAGCAAAATAAACCTGCTTCCCACACCTAGGGCAGCAGTCTCCGCCACCGAAACGACCAGATCCACCACCATTCATTAATGGGGCTGCTTGGGCTTGGGCCAGGTGAGAGACATTTCTGTAAGTAACAATTTAATGCAGATTTAATATTCTATTGGTAGTTTAAATGCATAGAAATGTTTATATGTAATGTATACATTCAATTACTATATTTATTATACTCCAAGCATTATACTTCAGGAAAAAAAATTAAGGGGACAATTTGAATTTTTACTTTAAAAACCAACTTAAGTTTGAATTCAGTACATTCCAAAAATTTATTTTGTAACATTTTTTTTTACAAGGAAAATATGCATTTACTCATCGATCACTTAAGTTTCAACAATTAAAGTATATTACAGATTATAAAGAAAAGTAAATAGGTAACATGTACATGTATGCATAATTAAATACGCTGCTGAATATAAATATTATTTGTAAAAATTTTGAAATGATTTTTTTTTTAATGAAATTCCACATACATACATATGATTAAAAAGACTTATTATTACTTTAATTATGTAACATAACAACATAAAATGGAAGTAGTTATGACAAATCATGTAATTAAAAATAAATTATGATTATTAATTTATTTTTGTTACTTCTATTCCGTTTTGATACTCAAGTAAAATATGTTATGAATATTTCTATTTCTGAATACAAATTCAATATCACTCAGTATATATCTGAAGTGTGCATTTATTTCTATGTCTAGTCATGAAAAAAAAATTCTTATGACATATTACACTTCTATAAGAAAAGGTATATGAGTGTCCATATATAAGTCCAACTGCCCTTGTATATTTATATGAAACTGTTCATATACAGACGAGTCAATAAATTGTTATATCTTCACCTCAGTTTCTTACTGAATATCGATATATTTTTCAATTGCTTCCACCTAAATAACCACAATACCAACAAGTTATGATCAGTGGTTTAATTTGATTTTGGTCTTAACAAACCTTTTGATTGGATAGAAAAATAATAAGTTTATTTTGTATAACCTGTGTTGACTAGTCAAAAACCTATTAAATCTGCTGATGTTACATTTAAAATTTGTGTATTTGAAGTTATGTTGAACTGGAAAATTGTCTCATTTTTTTTTTTACAATTGATGATAAGATAGCTATTTTCATTCATTTCGTTGATGTTTTTCATTTAATACTGTGAAATCACCAATTTTTACTGAAATAATTTTTCTATGGTGCTTTAAATTGTCAAACTAGAAAAAAAAATTCTCTGCAACCACAAAATCACATCGAATTGGACCAATATTTTTCCTCAAATCATGAAAATTTGACCCAAAGAAAAAAGATTATGATTTAACAATACATTATTATACATTTATCTATCATAATTCAGAAAAAAATAAATTAAAGTTCCAAAGTTGCACACGTACCCAGTGGTGATTTCATTTCGGCGCCCTGTATCCATAGATAGCCCTGAAGCTCCCCCAGCAAACCCGTACCCTTTGGGTCCAAAACTCTTGCTATAGCACGCTTTACAGAAGATTTCTCCATCGTGGTCATTACAGGTTGTACTATCTAGCAGTTTGTTGCACTTCGCTGTCAAAAACAAAGTGGAGCAATGACATACTAGATCATGTAGATGTTCTGAGGATTGATATATGTCAGTTAACATCAAATTTGTCAATATTTTCTCACAAAAAAAATCTTGAAAATATTTGCAGCTTCTTTCTTTTTCTTACGTTATATATTATTCACTCTTTTACTACAAAGGGAGATAACTTCTACAAGATGCAGTACTTAAGTAATACTGTTCGCACACGTATACTGTAAATTAATTTTTGGGAATAGCTATGAATTATTGCAATATCCACATTATGAAAGGCACAAAAATGAATATAAATATTGAAAATATAATTTTACAGCCAATGTTTTGTTTGGATGAAAAAGTACCATGGTAGATCAGATGATAATCTTGTTTTTATTGTGTATTAGGTATGTCCAAATCTTATTATAATCAAACTAGAGCTTCAAACTCTATCTGATACAGAAATTAAAGCATTAAGTAGAATCAGACCACCTATGCATACTGAATATCTGTTGTACAACATGTTCAATCAGAGAAAATCATTTATCTGTATGGTGGTAAACAGTCAATTGTTTACAGAAAGTTTACTCACATTTATATACATGTTCAGAGTTATCTAACTTGAGAGTCCATGAGTTCTGAGATTTGAATTATTATCAGAAACAAAGGCACATTTCTAAAACAGGAAATTAATTAGCTTAATCTTTCCTCACTGATTATTTCCTGTCTTTTATCATGTACCCTATATAAATGATTGACTGCTACATTAAAATTCCAAATTTAACTTTATTATTAACATGATAAAACCAAACTGAGCTTGTGAATGAACTCTTACCACAAGCTAAACACAATTTGTGAAATTTCTTCCCTAAAGCTCTCATCTCTTCAGCAAAATACACCGGCTTTCCACACCTGGGGCATCCATCCGTCCCTCCCCACTTCGGCTTCCCTTGATTCACCAAAGGGGCACCTTGTGCCTCAGAGTAATGAGAAACATTGCTGTAAAAAAAATCAAAAGAAATGTCTTCTAATATAAATAGGATATATACCAGCAGCATCCACAAAGTTAATGTTATTCTGAGGGATTAAAAAAAGTTGTGTTAGGTAAACATGGTTTGAAATGAAGATTTCTTATCTTAAAAATGTGCAGCACGGAGGCCTTGAAATGTGTAATACAGAGAGGCATTTCGTGAGCTGCTTTGCTGTCATCACTTTGTCTATTAGCCCACAGATTTATTTTTAGACAACTCTGACATTAAAGATAAGCTCAATTTTGTTTAATTGGAACTTATGCCAACAGAAGTCTGAAAATTTAGAAGATTTATTTTTTCCTTGAAGATGATTTGAAGAACTTTGTTTTTCTTAGCTGTGTAAAAGATCAGGATTATTTCTTTATAATTTCATTTGATTCTCTATAAAAGTGTGTTATATGAAGAGGTCAAGCTATAACTACTTATGTAATCAAGAGTAGATGTATAAACCAAGAGTAGCTGTCATCTTATGTAAAAACTGATGCATAAATTTTTTTTAATGTGATAAAAAGTTTTTAAATGTAAAGACTGACACATAAATATCTTTTTGTGTGATTTAATTTTTTTTTTTTTACATGTTAAGACTGACACATAAATTTCTATTTATCATGTTTATGTGATGTTAAGTTTTTACCTAGTTAATATATACAAAAAAAATTTCCTGCAGGATGAAGCTACAAATTAATGTATGAGGGCCCTTCATCAAGATAAAGTAGAGACATTAAATTACAGGTACACTGTACCTGGACAGGTATCTATGAATCTGCTAGCTGTTGCAGTTGTAAAGAATGACTGACATTAAAGGAATTTCTTTGAAGATGTGATATACACTAATCATTTTTAAGATCAGATGACCTGTCAATCAAAGCTAAAGATTAGCCCATGTTTTGTACATTGGCTCAATGCCAGCATATCGAACATGGCATCTACATCTAGAAACAGTTCAATTTAAATTTTAAAAAAAAAGACCACTTCCTCCATACACATGTTACACAATCAGAAATATTTTAACCCCCTCCTTACAAAAATTGAAAAATTTAAATTGCAGGCTAAGATGAGGAGAGCCGATATATTGAGATATGAATCAATGATGATATAAAATGATGCACAGGTGTAAGATTTTTATCAGGAAGTGATTCATCACCTTCGAGTTTGCTGATGAGGGTTTCCAGTGTCCATAGATAAGCCTGAAGATCCCCCTGCAAATCCGTACCCCTTGGGTCCATAAAGTTTTCCATAGCAAGATTTACAAAACGCATCGCCATTGTGTTCTGTGCATGTTGTGCTGTCCAACAGTTTGTTGCAGTTTCCTGATAAAATAATAAAGGCAAGCTCATTTTATTCCGAGTCATTAGAGGTATCAAGAAATTAGATAAACTTATGTCAAGGATTTTAAAAAAAAAAAAGTCAAGAGGCTCCTTGTTAAATAGCTATCAGGTTTTTCAGAAAACAAGGGCACAAAGAGATGATAAATAAAGTGATAATGAGGCTATAACTTGGTTGTAAAATCAGTCAGTCATGAACATAAATTATTTATCTTGAAAGTGATCTCTGCATGGAAAGAACTTTAAACTACTCTTTAAAAAATATTTTTCACTTTAATGTATAAAGATGTAATTAAGAATGAAAATTTCAACATATATATTCAAAAATAGTACCAATGTGAATTACGATATTTTAGTTCCTTGTTCTGTGGTTAAACAGACATGTTATATTTTTGCCGCTATGTATGATTGCACCTGTCAGGGATAGAGAAATCTTATATTTAACAGAGTATAATTCACAAGATCTCCCATCGCTTATCTTCATTTGCATTGCATATTGCCCACAGGCCTTTGTTAGTAAATGTTTACTCCCCATTGCCAGAGACTTTCTAATGGATACTGCCTGTGGTTCCAAAGATCTTACAAGAGACAATGATTTTTACGATACTGCACTCCAGATTTTTAAAACAGCTTCTTGTTTCATAAGATAATTTTTTTTTCTCTTTGACATCTGGTTTCTCTTTCTCTCGTGTTACATAATATGAATTGATAGCATTTATCACTTTGAAAGATATTAATGTTTTCCAATAGTAAATTCTTATAAAAAGAATTATGATTAAGATCAAAAGAAAATGATTTACAGGTAAATCTAAAAAATTATTAGATACATGTATGTACCCTATAACACTTACAGAGCTTAATTTCAGAAAATTCCTCAAGCTCACTTCAATTTCCTTCTGAGAGAATTAATTTTCTTTTTCTCTCTTAATCACATTACTTCAGCCAATTTAAATCAGATAAATGTAATTCTAAATTAAAATTCCTGGATATACTCACCACACTTAAAACAGAGCTTGTGCCATTTCTTTCCCAGGGCTTTCACTTCCTCAGCGAAGTACACCATGTTCTGGCATCGTGGACATCGTTCTGCCATGGTCCTGTTGTCAAACGAAGGCCGCCTAGGATAATAATACCAATCGGTCAACATCTTGTTAAAAACTTAATTTTTTCTTCCACTAATACCCAAAGAGACACTGGAACTAAATGGAAAGATGAAGAAATGGGGAAAAATCGGTAATCCCTCCTTCTTTGTTCAGCCTCTCTCGAAGGAGTTCGCTCACTCCTATAAACTGTCAAATTTTATCCCTATCAAGTCTTCAAAGTAAAAACGGCACAAAGAGGATGTTTCATCCAACCCTCTTCTGCATTACTCAAGGTGTCTGGTTTTACGTTGTGGCATGAGTCAGAAATGGTTCAACATTTCCCAAACTTTGTTGATTTTACTGTTGCTGCTTATTTTAGAAAAAAGACTCCTGGTAATTAGATGTAAGAAAAATATTCCCAGGAGTGCTAATTAACTTTAATTTGGGTTTTTAATTACAGTGTCAGATTTTTACCATTCATTAATTATTGACAGCAAGTTATTTTATATGAAAATGGTTACATTGATTTTAACACCTTCTGCATGCAGGAAAATTGGATTAATGCAAAAGATTAATTTTTGGCAATACTTTTGAGTCAGGAATAAACATGACTTCATATTTTGGGTTAAATTAAGAATAGGCCTATTTATAAACTGTCAATGATAAAAAAATCAGTGAATAAATTTGAAAATGCTTTATCTTTTGCAATGCTATAACCAATGAAATGGAAAACTGCATGGCTTGCACATTCTGACTTCTATCAGCAGAGAAGAGAAAACTTTCAGATTATTTAGAAAATTCTTATCACCTTCCATCCTGGATGTAGGGTCATTCTTCATTGGAATGGAAAATTGCACACAATATAAATCACTGAATTTTGTATCAATAGCAGGAAAGTCATTAATGGGATTTTTGGCATGATCAGAATATATTATATCTGCTCTATATGCCATGGTTTTGTGATAAATGATAGACATGCACTTCACAATGATTTTGTAGTACATTTGTATTTGCAAAGTCCTATTTTTAGTATTTTAATTAGGTTGCTTTTATATTTCTTTAAATGCATTATATAACATGGTATAAATGGACTCAATTTTTAATTCCAGATTCAAAGTTTCAGAATTTCTTATTTGTGTGTCTATTATTATTACTTTCTATACATATAACATGTTTAATGATATTATTGAGTTCTCTGACATTCATCTTCACTAACCAAGGGTACCTGACCTGAAAACTAATCTACTGTAGAATGACAAAGTACTTCCACATTCTTTGACTCAAATTTCTTGCATTTCTTGAATTTAAATTTGCATATAACTGCATGTGAATGCTACTTTTTTTTTTAAGTAACCCAAGTAGTTTCTGACATGAATGTATTCAGCTTACAACTATACACATTATGTATCATCTTGCGACCCTTAATGCTCCCCAAGGAGCGAACAGGAATAAGTAAGTCAAGTCACATAATGTGTCATCTAATTTTTTAATTTCCATTTTATACCTACAGTGAAATTATACATCACAGAATGAATTTAAAAAACATCTCATAATAACTGAAGTGCCTGATACATGTACTAAAGTGGGACAATCATATGATAACTCACTGACTTTAGTAACTATGGCTTATTTAAGATTACCACTACTGCGATGTAATATATGCACATAAAGATCGACATGATTTTTTTTTTCTTGTCATCCATCTTATTATTTACGGTGTAAAATATATTGTATGATCAATATGTGACATTGTCAGGAACAATTGTTGATTTTACAATTATCATTTACATATAAAACTTAATATTAAAACAAAACAATTTTGATAACATATACCTTACGTAAAATTTCACTTCCTCTGAAAATCTCTATTTTTGTCCAACTGTTTTACACTCTCACCTAAATGAACATGAACGGTGTCTACTTGTTATAAAGTAATCTTAAAACACAGTTACACATCTTAAAACCTGTTATCTATAAATAATTACCTGTACAAAATGACACGAAAACAAGCTCTCTTTCCTGAATTATAAACTAACAGTTCCTCTGGTCTACAGAGTACAGAATTATAATAATTTATAGACAACACCCAATGCTGAATGGAATCACCTTGAAAAAAAATATACCTGCAAGCCTGTTATTGTATTTTTACCTTGATGACGCTAAAGACATGCAAAATATCTCTTACCTGAATTTATCTATCAAGTGTATCTTGCAATGTACAATACAACCACCTTGCTATTTATGCACCGTGTTTACAAGATCAATAGGTATTGATCAGATCGAATTCAAAATTTAAAGCTACTGAATCGAAGTTATTTCAATTTATAAAGACCATGTATAGTGTTATTATTAATAGAACACGGGTGTGCGTTTAAATCCTTGTTTATTCCCTTGTTTATTTCATGAAAATGACGACATCGTGTCTTGTTTTCATGCTGGAATATGACATTCCTTTCATTCTTTACATTCCGCCTTAGGATTTTGCCGTATAAGGTAGAAATATGTTAAGCTACCGTGAAACAGCTGTTTAAATGTTGACATGAATCGTTTATCAGCGGTATTGATATCGTCCTGATTTAGGAATTTCCAAAACATTCCAAACTTGTATACAATAATAATCCCATAATCAGCGTCCTTATGTTAAGAAAATGTATACACGTGCTCTTAAAACCGAAAGTACACCCTCCGACAGTAGTTGTTTTTATTACATACCTTTTATTTGCTGTTTATGCCTTCTCTGTGTTGTTTAAATCACTTTACCGCGTATAATTAAATACTTCCGCCAAATCGGCTGTCACCTTTTTGCACACGACACACAAAACAATAGAGTTATCTCGCTTTGATAACCTTTTGGCTTTTAAGAGAAAAAAAAACCATTATTGTCTTTGCAAGTATTTATTTTTAATTTTATCAAAATTTGATTCAAAATTTAAAAAAAATTAATAATAACGAAAACGGAACCAAAAAAAAAACCATTTGGAAGGAAATTCTAAGGAAAAAAAAAAAAGAAAGTTGCCTAAAACTAATATAGGTAATATAAAGTATCATTCAAATAATAATTTTCATTTGCCATGTTATATTAAGATTAAAATAATGACTTTAAACAGATAAATAAAAGATATGTTGCTCAAAAAACTAGAGAAAAGGGAACTTTGGGATAAACGAAATAGCGTCACTCTGCAGGGGCGGATCCAGCAATTTTTGAAAGGTGGTGGGGGTTTCCAGTTTCGGTGCCCCAAATACTCTACTCAAGATAGAGATACTTTTGACTTGGCGCCGCGTCTGTGGTATATAAGGAGCGTTGGGACGTTCTCCGTTGCTAGCACCCAATACTCATGCATAGAATCACACACAGGCACATCAAACCCTTTGCAAGACTTGCAACGGTATTCAAAGGGGACAACCCTCCAAAAAGAGCACGACCCCCCCCCCCCCAAAGCAAACAAACAAAACAAACACACAAACAAGCAACCTGTGCACCACACTTTAATAAATTCTATGCTAAAATTCTCATATTCTATTGGGGGGGGGGGTCTAACCTGGCGGAACATTTTTCTTTCGAATGCTTGCATTTGGCTTTTTTGACCTCCCAACAATAAAAAAGTGTTTGGGAGCGGAGAACTCAATCCAAATCAAAACTTACGTATCAAAACTACAGCAAAAGATTATTCTCAGAAAAAAAAGTGAGTCCCCTTCCCCAACATACTATTTAACAAATTTCTCAGTCTTTACTTATTAAAATATATCCATGAAATAAGGGGGAAAATATTCTCATCTGCAGGCATATACTCCCTTTCATGACTTTAAAGATGGTTTAAAAATGGCATATAGATATAGATAAAATTCGCTGGAATCTTCCTCTGATTTCAAAGTGATACCCTGCATGTTACGTGTGGGTAGTCGGGGCCCGGGGCAGGGATTGTGATTTTTTTTGAAAAATATACTGTTTTCTTTGATTTCGCCCATGGGTGCACTTATATTTCGGGCGAAAAAAACGATTTCGAAACTTAAACGTTGACTAAAATGTCCATATGTATAAAGTAGCACTTTTATCATAGGCCACCATAGTGACTAGGGTGACATGAAAAAAGGACACAGCTGTTTCATGTATTTTGGATGTTTCCACATTCTGTAATTCTGTGTATTTACATGCATGCCAGACAATAATTCAAAAGACTACTCTTCTCTGATTATTTTAAAAAATGTATTTGTAAATAGATAAATGTAGTAATATTAATTTATTCTCAGAGTAGATTCGATATTTTCAAAAGCGTTCAAATCGACAATTTGCATATGGATACAGGTTATACCTTTTAGGATCAAATTGCTTTATATGTCTCTGTTGTTAAGGATCTCGAATATCAAATTTAGATACCAGGTATGAACCATAGCCAGTCAAGCTTAATTAAGAAAGTTTAAACAAAAGGGTGAAATTATCAACCGAATAAATTAAGCACTTGTGCTTGAATATCTTGAACGATATCTAAAACAATAAGGAAACCCATAATAAAAGCTATGATCTTTTGACGATTAATGAATCGAAACTTCTGACCCCCCTTGAAATAGGAAAAGAATTGTTTACAACCCATTGTATTTTAACAAGCTAAAAACAATTATTTAAATTTCTAACACTTTCTAACACGATTGGAATATTTTCTGTAAGGTTTTGTTTTTTTTAAATACACATCTATAGCCTTTTTATCACACCTCAGTGAAGATTCTGTAATTTTAATTAGATGTCAGCACCGAAGGTAAGCTGTTATAGTGGATCATCAACGAAGAATTTCTCAATATGTATGTAATTTTTTTTTTTATTTCTAGATGTAATGTTTTAAAATAAATATTATTTGAAATTTTTCACTAATTGTGAAATTTTTTCTGTAATCACAATTTTATACCAGGAAGTTGATAATTATGAATATATACGTAAATGATAGATTAGCATGTTTTGGACACAAAAAGGGGTGGCTGGTCCCCTCTAAATCTGCCAGTGAGAATACATTTTTGAAAAATACATTCTGGTATATACTTTCATCTTCTCTCTCCGATATGTAAAAAAAAATGAAACAGATGTAGACTTAATGTAGTTTATTGTGTTCAAGTCGAAAAGACTATGACATATCAAAATTTGACCAATCAAAAAAAAAAGACATTATACTAGCTTAGCTACAAATTCTGTGCAGTTTGATAACAAAGTAGAGCTGCAGTCTCAGCAGGTTTTTCTGGCTGTATTTTCTATCCATTTTTTCCCGATCATGACAAAGAGCACACAGCGGGTGTGACCGATAGGCAGGGGATGCTATTTCCTCCATGGCACCTGATCCCACCTCTGATGTTTTGGAGGTCTGTGTTTGCTCTGCTCCTATTTTGTATCGTTTTATGGACTTTTGACCTTGAATACTGTTTGTTATCTCCATATGTTTCATTACAGCTAAAGAGACATGGTAGAATTAGTGTGAACAGTGCCGAGCTCTATGACATGCTGACAGACGTGTCCAGCGGTACCGGTCGTCGTGATCTTGGTCAACAAGAGGAAGGCGACATTGGAAGTAAAGAATGTTTTTAATTTATTGATTCAGAGGCTTTTCATTTTTATGACAAAGCTCATGAAAGTTTTTAGCATACGCAACTGAAACGTAGAAAGTCTCTACAACAATTTTTCACTACAGTTGAATTTTTATTTAAAGATTCCGGAAAAGTAGGCAGCCATGAGAATCTTCATCAACTACCACAAGTCAGACCAAGAAGAACAACACCAGGTGCGGATCCTTTCTTATTTAGGAGGTGTATACATTTTGGGTGAAACATATGGAGATAACGAACAGTATTCAAGATCTTAATTCCATAAAACAATACAATATAAGAGCAGAGCAAACACGGAGCTCCAAAACATCAGAGGTGGGATCAGGTGCCATAGGTCAAATAAACAACTGTATTGTATCCTATTTACAATTCAAAGATTTCTCTGACTCTAACCCCCGTTTGAATTATATAATGATATGTGAACATGTCATCTAATATGAGTAAGAGAAATCTCGTATTACCTTTTCCCCTCCAAACAAAGGTAGAATGATTTCACTTGTGCTGATCTGTCCATATCTATAAGAGGGGTAGGTGGGGGTAGGATAAATATTGTCAAGCAAATAAAATAGGACAGAACTTGACCGTTTCTCAAACTCAAATTCCTCATTTTAAATTCATAATTCGGGGTTCGGAGGGTGTTGGGGTTTGGGGATATATTTATTTAAAAAATATATATTTGCAGTGAAACTATATGTGCTTGCTGATTGCATGCGTTTTCCAACACACAACAAGTGAACAAAGAAGAAAAGGGGTACAAGCAGGTCTAACTTTGAAAATTTTCATACATAACTGTCAAGAAAAGACGTCTCAGAAAAAGACCCCCTCCCCCAGTCCCCTGCGAATTACATATGAAGTTCTGTTGTCGAAGTTGAAGAGGTGTAGACTGCTTCCAATATACCTTCAAGCTGCACAGAAATAATTAAATTGTCAAGAAATGTCCATATATATACAGTTTTGTGCAATATAATCGGAATGGAGCGCAAAAATTTCATTCAAGGTCTTTCTGTCACCTCTTAATGAAACAAATAAGATTGATGAGAGTAGATATTACAAAGAGATTAAAAAACAAATGCTGATAAAGATGTCCTTAGTTTCGTATTTGTAGACATTTCCACACTAAAATTGAAGTTAAACTGCATATGGTTATCCACACAACTAAATTCAGTTTCAGATATGTCGGTGTTTACCGTGGGGAATAGAAGTAAATCATTTCCATTTAAGAAAGATCTACCATCGCCCACTTCCTCTGTGAGAAGTGAGTACTTTTTTCCTTTATTCACAATGTGGTTATAGTGGTGTATTTTAGCTATATAAGAAAAAATAGAGGGACGATACTATATTTGTGTACGTCCCTCTTGAGAATTTTTTCACTCATATGGAGACGTTTTTAGCTATACGAATAGAACGATCTACATTTGTGTATAGTTCGAAAAAGAAATTCTACTTTTCCAGCACCTGCAAACCTTTTTTGCCATTGTATGCAATTTTAAGAATTTTTTATAGCAATATATCCTTGTCAATTTTCCTCATTTTATGGATTAAAACCGAGATAACGTGTGAACGCTATCGCTGATATAGTGTAATATGAACAAAATTTTATTGATTATTCAATTTGTTGCTTTAAAAATTGGAAGCACTATTGTAAAATTTCTGAAATTGAAAGATGTTTTTACATACTTAGTACTTTTTATTTATTTTGAAATGACAAGGTTGGTTAAGAATCCTTTTAATTCCCGTTTTTCTTGGCGGAAAAAAAACAGTCAACTAAAATCAATATAATTCCGCAGTAAAATTAAACTGCTTCAAAACTTTTAAAGCCGATATACCGGTAGTTTTAGGAAAATGCAACGCACGTTACCGGAAGCCCATCATCCAAATATGCAAACGTATTGTTCCAACTGCATGTACTGTAAACGCATATAAATTATCGTATAGTTAGACACCATCTTTATCAATGGCTATAGAATGATAAATTAGCGCATTTTGGCCATGGAATTATATTTAATTCAATCATATATTGCATTGTATCAATATTGCATTTCGGGTCAATTAAAGCACGAGGGTTAAGAATTTTACCATATTATTTGGATTTAATTCCTATACACAGAACTTGATGCCAGGTCATTGGAAAAAGAGCTTCTTGTCCAGTTCAAAAACAGACGACTTCACCCTCACTCTCACGTACAGATGGGAATAAACAAATCACCAAGGCAACGACTTCAGAACTCATTCTACCCACATGCCAAACAACGTAAGTACACTACCACAATGTAATACTATAGTAGTATATATTTTATATTTTGATATACTAGTATATGCACAAAATAATAAGACAACAAATTTATTTACATGCTCTTAAAACTCGAAAATCACGCAGCCAAATGCAATGTACATGTATAGATGATACACTAGCAAACTAGCAAAACAACCAATGTAGGCCACAGTTTAACGCTCACATTAGTAACTTTAGCCCTGCAGTTATGATTTTAGCCAACTCTATCCTAGAATTCATTAGTAGTATTTAAACAAGATGTTTTTGTGAATTATTTATGTCTCCGTATGGCAGCTTTGGGCGAAGGTTTAAGTTTTTTCAAATGCAAGTCAATCTCCAAGGTCAAGAGATAAAAAATGTTTCTCAAAGAAAGACCTTGTCTTCATGAATGTACCCGTAAAATGTGAAAGCCTAACCAATGAGTCAAACTCCAAGTTATATGTACCCAGGGGAAAGCATTGTCATAAGATTTTTTTAAAAATCCTACCAACTGTCCAAAGTTATGGCCAAGGTTAAAGTTTTTCAAAAGTAAGTCAAATTCTAAGGTCAGGGTCAAACGGTGAAATACTGTGTGAATAATAAACGAAATTTAATCACCCACAAATGTTTTGCTCTGACAGTATGTTGGTACCCAAAGAAAGGTCTTGTCACAAGGATTACACATATGAAATATGGAAGCCACAACTCCAACCAATCAAAGATTATGGGCAAGCTATAGGGGCTGTTATCAGAAAAGCTCATGTAAGCTTTCAGCTCATGTGAGCTAAAATCCAAATATAATATTCTTTTTTCAGTAGCTGTCCAGTCATTGGATCAATTTCAACATAACGTTGACAGCGCCACGATGATAACATGCACGGCAGACGACCATATTACGGTTGACGTCATGGACACTTCCGACGTAATGAGTAAAACTGTACACATGGACAATCAAAGTGTTGATGGCAGGATACATAACATTTCGGACACAAAAACAACTACACCTAAGAGTCGCTTCAATACGACTTCGACCGTACAAAACGCTTATTTTGATAGTGAGCAGAAATTAATACCAAAATGGAGGAGCTTGAATGATGTTAGTGACTCCGCATTTTACTCCACAACCAGAAAACCTAGAGGTTTGGTTAACAATGTTTTACCCTAAAAAACACCCTCTAATGTAAAAATTACTATATGCTGTAGATCACTAGTTAGTATACTTAATAACATCTTTACTGAGCGGTACAAAAAATCGATATTGGACCGCTGAGTGAGATATTGGACCTGTCAATTAAAATATTGGACCGCTATGACGTTTTAACGTCATAAGTGGGCGGGATCAGCTATATCTAATTTGTCCATTTTAGGTTATGCTGTTATAATAAACAACTATGAGTTCTACAAAGAGATGATAGCATTAACACACAGTGGACCGCAAACACTCCGAATGATACAGAAAGGTTTGAGGCGAGATGCCTCAATAGAAGACGCAGGTATCTCCAAAGAAATTGATTTCATACATGAAATATTTGAGTAAAGATTTCATTTTGTTTTTAGCAACGACCATGCTATCTTTTGAAGAAATCAAAATATTTCATATTGTCCCCGAGTGAGTCATATGTAATTTGTACTTTGACCATACAAGTTTTGGAGACTATCCAATACAATTTGACTGACGTGTTTCATTCTCGCATTCTCGTACAATGATGTAAAATTTCTACATGACATGTCTATTACCGTGAAAAAAGACGTGACATTCTCAAGTGTCTTAGCTATTTTTGAGTTTTTAAAAAATGACTCTTGCTTTCTTTTATGGTCTGCAATATTATGGACCAAAAACCATATACTTTTTCATGTCTCTACCCTATGACATTGCCTAATCCATGGTACAAATCAAGAGTCTTTGTTTGAAAAACAAGTACATGTATGTTTATTATTACCATAAATTCAAATTTATCTATTTCTGTTTTTATTTTTTGTTTCCAAGATAAGTTGAGTCGATTCTTCAGGGATGAACTGCATTTTATTGTCAAGGGATACGCAAACGTACCTGCTTACGACATGATCAAGATTCTTAGTGACGTCAGCAATGCGGACCATGCCCAGTTTGACGCGTTTGTATGCTGTATTGCTAGCCACGGCAGGAGAGGGACATTGTTCGGGAGCGACTGTCGAGAAATTAAGGTAGAAGATGTCACCAGTCTTTTTACCGGAAGTCGATGTGTCTCTCTTTCAGGGAAACCAAAATGTTTCTTCATTCAAGGTTGTCGAGGAGACCATTATAGTCTAAAAGGTGTGTTCAACCACAACTCTCTCTCTCTCTCTCTCTTGGCTCTGTTGATCAGAAAAAAAACCAGAAGAGCTTATGCAACAGTAAGGTATCCGTCTGTATCTGTCTGTTTGTCTTCAAACATTTATTTCAAAATGTTACTACAATAAACTAAATAGCTCTGCTTGTCTTTTTTTTTCAATTCAATGAACGGTGTTTCAATGGATGGTTATTAAAAATATAAATTTCTGTAAAATTAACTTTCAAAACTCTACTTTTCCTACAATTTTGGTCTGATACTTTCCGATTCCAATATGACTTGACAAACGTAGAGTATACACTAAAATATATAATTCTAAATATCAGGATTTTTTAATTTTGGTGAGTATAGACCGAAAACTCTGACGTTTTCCAGGCTTTTTTACGCTTTTCAAATTTTTCACGTGCAACGCAAAATATTAGAATTGTTAAAAAGCATGGTAAACGTCAGAATTTTCGGACTAGGTTGAGTGTTGCCATGCTTATAAAAAAATTTTTTTAAAAAAACTTGAAAGACTTCACTAAGATGCCTAGTAGTCTCTATCAATTTTTTTTATGAATAGGTTGCTAAAGAAATCGAAATTTTAGTAAAAGTCTTGTAAAAGGCTACTTCTCGTATAGTTTAAGTCTGATTGAAATAAATCTTGTCTCAAAAAGACTAAACCAAAGATCATGACTCTATCTATTGCTGTTGCAAAGTTTCAAGTCCAATTGCTATTTTTCTCCTTTGTTAAAAGTAAAAGCCAGTAGACCTACAGTCTCATTAGAGACTTCTGGTGTAAATATATATCATTGATAGTCTTTTTTTCTTCAATAGGCATTTTAAGTGGACCAGCCAATGGTGTATCACGTGACCAGCATTACATTCCTCCCACAAGCGATTTCCTGATAGGTTATTCCATGGTCAAAGACTGTACAGAATTTCATGTACGACAAAGTGAAAGTCTTTTATACAAGACACTTCTGAAGTACTACAGAAAATACTCCAAGAGGTAAATTACTTTTATCATTGGAATCAAAATGAGGGACGTGACGTGGTTTTCAACGTGGTTTTCAGAAATTTGTTTCTGATAAAATCGAAATACTGGTAAATAATTGTATCGTGATATATCCATAAAGTGAAAATCAACGTTTTAAAGTTTCATAATTTGTCATAAGATACTTTGAATAAAAAAAAATATTTGTTTCTGTAAACCAATTATAAATTTTTTATTTCAGAGAACTTATCCGCGAAATGTGGTCACATTTTTTTTATTTGTATTTTTGAATCAAATAAAAATTTTATATGCCCATTGTAATGGTCGTGATATATCAAGGGGCAATTAATAAAGTGAAAATCAGTTTCGTTTTAAAGTTAAGACAATGCAAATAGTTTTAGACTTGCCATTAGTTTTTATATGTTTGTAATTAAATTTTGCTTCTTGTACACTAACAGTGTTTACGTAGGAGTGATACTTTAAGAATAAAAAAAATATTAGATAATGATCATTTATTAAGTAATGTTTTTCTTTATATCGATATTTACAAGATCTCGATGTTCTAAATCTAATTCAATAATTGTCATCTTTCCTCCAGATACGATCTTGTTAACATCATTGTTCGTGTTAAGAAAACGTTAGCCAAGTTGCAGGAGAAAACAATTGGAGCAGAGAATGTGTTCGAATGTAACTTTAGAGCTCAACTAGCATTCTAAAAACAATTAAATGAACTTGTACAAAGATTTTTATATTGTTTTATTTCTTCAAAGTGATGATTTAAGGAAGCTTTAAACACTGCACACTAAAGAGCTCCACTTATAGGGTAGTTTTATACAGTTAGAGGGATCTGCCATTGGAAGTTAAGCTTTAAAAATTGTTATTTACAGTTAATTACATGATTGATAATAGATTAAAATATAAATAAAGTAACCAATTTTATTATTTTCATTAATTTTCCAAATGTAAGTAAACAGCAGTGATTTCTACCCAAAAATAGTCCATTGTTTTTGAACATTTTTCCAGTGGAAATAAGGCAGATACCCTATGTTATAAATGAATGATAAAGTCTCAATATGCACACCTTAATATGATATATTCTCCCCCCAGTCCAAAAAGCAGTTTCTGTTAAAATTTAGAGCTTCCTTTAAAGTTAAAAGAAGAATACTGAACACTTCTGATCGAAACTGAACATGAATTCGGATATGTCTTCGACTGAGTGTTCTAAAACATTAATTTTTTATGAATTTCTTTTGTGATATCACACTGGTAATTCATTTCTGTAGTTGTCCTATTAAAAAAAAGGCTTATAGGACTTTTGCGAAAAGCACTGACTTTACAGTTGACGGTTAATTAAACCTGTATCATATACGGAGGTACAGAATTGATAAAAGATAAGAAAACTGTTTTAGTGTCCATAGGTCTGATGTTGGCGACACTAACATGTGAAGGCTGGAAGTTGAGGGTAGGGTGGTTGTCGCTTTCTTCAAGGGCAACTTATTTGTGCTTTGAAATAACCATTGTTTTCGTTAAACTAAATGTTGAGCTAAATAATTACATAGTAAAAGAGCTTCCGTACATTGTCCTAGTGTAAAAGAAGCTGCCAGCTGTAAAAGTCAGCGGTCTTCGCAAAAGTCCAATACTAAACTGCTTGGTACACGACACGACTTCAGCTTTTTCGTCGTCAGCTTTCGTTATGTAACAATACATGTATTCCGCTAGCACCTGCATATGGTGTTTCATTATATCTCCCAATTTATTTGATTCTCAAATGTAGGAGAGTGACAGATAAGTTGATGTTACCTGAACAATACATAAGGATCGCGGCGGGTGTGACCGGAGAACCTTACTGATTCCCCCCCCTGGAATTTCATGTCCTGTTCACAGTTTTGTATTGCTTTTTTCCTTATTATATCGATCACCGTAGTTAACTTTTCCTTTATTTTTTTCTTGAAATATGACGTTTTTCAGCCCCATTTGGTTCATAAAATGTTCAAAAGTATCAGTCTCATCTAGGAAGTAAATTACTGACTAAAACTTGATTTACTTTTAATTAAAAAAAAACAAAACTAAGTTCTTTGGATTAAATAAAGCCTCTTACTATTATAATATCATATCTTATAGTATGATTTATGGTGTACTGGAGATGTGCAAAACTGTTTCGATTATTTCCATCCAGAGGGCTAATTTTTCTACCAAATGCCGGTTCTAAGACCTCATTTTATACATGTACGTTAAAATTAAGCAATTCATCTTTTGAAATGTAGATAAGCAAAAAATTTGGAGTTTTTTTACCCTCAGGATCAGGGGAAGGGATGTTTTTCTTCAAAATCAATACTCCTTTACAAATTTCTTTAAAGCATTAATTTATTCAGTTTTTAAATATGATTGGTAGTTGTACTGCAAACGTAGATACGCAATATAGGGATGCCAAATTATCAGTAGATTCTCTAATATCAGACAGAAAATGAATTAATACATGTGCCTGCGCCACTAAACTTCAAGCTTGAGTATGCTGTGCTGTGCAGATTGAGATCTTTGGGGTATGTATGTTGGTTTTTTTTGTTTTACGCATTTTTTAAAAAGAAAAAAATGGTTTCATTAATATTGGGATGACACCATTTGCCAGTGGAAGGTTGCAAATTTCTAAGTCCTCGCTACATTTGGCCACTGAGCAGTGAGGTATCTTTTTAATACAGGGAAATGTTCGCCCCTGTTTTATTTTCGCCCTTGTCTAAAATAGGCAAATTTAAAATGGGGTGAATTCAACTAACACAGCATAAATTCTTAAACAGAACCGTGACTGGGCGAATTTAAAACGAAAAACGTAACAAAATTGTTAGCAAGTGTAAAAGGGCGAAAATAACCCTGTATACAGTATTTTTGCCAACATCTGTTACAACATGGAACCAGTCTAATAGGAATGATAGTTGATGTTAAATATTCAAAAAACATCTACTTCTCAGTCTTTATGAATAACAAAGAAAAACCTATTCAAAATTTATTGCATTTTTTCTGTCATATTGTAAAACTACTAAAATTATAACAAAATTCATAAAAGGTTAATAAGGAAATTTTTTTTAATTAAAAAAAAAGGAAATTCATCCTGTTATTATAAAGCATCAATAGTAAAAAATAAACACAAATTGCTACATGTCTTGTAAAGTTTCTTTGAAGTCATTCTTTGCATTGTGGAGCAACATATTACACACCCTGTATTTAAAAACAAATAAAGCTGCTGAAATTATACATTATATGAGTATAAAAAAATGTTAAAGAAGTATCAAAAAATGTTAGAGACTACATTATCTTTGACAGAGAAGTGAATACTAATATACATGTATCCGTTTTAAGTTTGCAGAACACAAAACATATTGCACGTCAATGTAGTGAACACAAAAAATGCCTAAAGCTTTATGATATATTGCACAATAACACAGTTCAATGTCAATCATTGGTCCTTATTCTGAAGTGAGAGCTAAGAAGCTTAATCAAAAGTTGAACAAATACAAGTATATACACATGTTAATAGCAGAGTTCAGTAAAGCACAAGACATTGGTAAGGATTCCTTTCTACATCCACCGAGTTCTGAAATCACTTAATTACGTTCAATTTTATCGTCTCTAATACTTTTTGTTATCATTAAATGTTTTAATTTTCATTTAAGGTAAAAAGGCATAAACAATTGCTCTATAAAGAGAAATATTTTGAACAGATCAATAATGAATCTTTAGTCAATACTTTATCAAGATATAGAAAAACCCTGGTGCAATAGAATTTACGAAATGTGTATCAATTCATCCCCCCTTTCTTTGTTGAAAGTAAGAAAGTGTACCAAAGCAAAATTCTAAATAAAAGATGAAACATTACAAAACTTAGTCACAAACCGATAACATATTACAACATTTGGGGTTTAAATCTATACAGATAACATGGGGACACTGAGAAAGGTTGCACACTGCCCATTGTAACTAAAAATAGACATCTGTGTTTGGTTCCTGTAAAGAGAAATTAAAACCTATTAGGAATAAAATATACAATGTAGTTTACCTGAAAGGGAACATTCAAAAAAAAATTCTATAATTTATATTCTCTGTAAGGCCATCCTTAAAAAATTGTTTGTTTGGAATTGCCGCCTGAAGGGTTTCAGACACAGGAGGGAGGGAAATTATTTTTTTTTTAATTGAAGATAAATTGATTAATTTTTTGATAAAAATCTCAGTAAACAGTAAATACATTTTCTGACTTTTAAAAAAAAGTATCTACCATCAACAAAAAAAACTCTAATTTTACATATATCTGACACTATATTTCAGTGTTTTGTATGGTGTATGTGCACGTAATGGGCAAAAAAAAAATTGATTAAATAAAAAAAATCTTCCTACTTTTGCTCAATAAAATTTTTTCAGGAGGGGGCATTTCAATAAGGCGGGAGGCAATTCCAAATAAACTATAATTTTATTTTGGCCTTAAGCACAACCTTTAAGCTGGAATAAATTTGGACTGCCTATTCAGCTCTCACTACTTTGATGGTAAATATTATACTTGAAATGGATTTCTAATTATGGAATAATAAAACCTCTATATATCATAGAAATTCAACTGCTTACCCAGATCATTTACAGTTCTTTGAAATAAATCAACTTATTTTCCCTGTATGGCTTTCAAACATTATCAATTATTTACAGATTTCTGCACAATAAATATACCTCAAAATTGCCAACTTTATAAATGTTATCAAACATTTGAGCCTCAATATTGTTTTTCAGTACAAAACACATTAATATTTCATATTCTTGTATAGTAAATGACAAATCAATACAAAACAAGCAAATTCAAAAAATTGTGGTCCCCTCCTGCTGAGTCTTAGTGGTTATATGATGCAAGTATTTATGACATATTGCAATTGTCTTGTCTATATGTCCTGTTTTGACTGTCCATAATGCAAAAACAATTAACAAAAATTTGAATTAAATTTGAATAAAAAAAAAAATCAATTTTCAGCCGAGGTGACAATGTAGATACATATAGTGCTTTGTTCAACATTTGACAAGAAATGATAATTCCAAGATTACAAAAACAAGTCCTGATGCAGTCTTCACGAAAACTTTTCAAACTAACTGGCCAGTCGGACCAGTGAACTTTCAAAATATACTAGTCCACCAATTTTTTTTACTGGTCCCTTTCATAAAAAAATAAAATAAATACATTTTCATAATTGTAAATTTATAGGGTGAATTCACCATGCATCGGATACCCTTGTACTTCAACAAGTCCTAGTGATATCGCTACCGACGGAAAACTATCAAAATGGAGTTTAACATTTAGTATGTGATTAAAATATAAATTTTGGACACAATTATATGCTTTTTATTGATCGAGTTTTTAAAAATAACTCAGAATTCACCATGGATCGAACATTGTTTACCATGCATCGGACAGACGGTATTTGAATTGGGAAAATATAATACCTTCATGACAGTGCTTTGAATTCCTTGATATGGATAAACTTTCAATCTAAGAAATAACCCTCAACTTAAATATAATTGACGATATCGTTGCACAAATGTACACTCAAAACAAGAAATTCTTAAAATGCTTGTAATGCGGTAATTCGGCCTTTTTTCTCATGTGCTATCATACTGAGGTTTGTAGAAATAAATTGAGTCAGATTTTAGACTTCATATATGGATAACTTGTATTTTGACTGAAAATTTAGAGTTTTTATTTTCTATTTCCGACAAAAACAGCTGTCAGTAGGGTTCTGTATCAAAATGGTCGTGATTACCTTTACATCGGAAAGTGTCCGATGCATGGTTAATTTGTGTCCGATGTACGGAGAAATGAACATACTAGTAAAAACCAGCTTTAAAAAGAATTATACAAATATCGAAGGGAAAATTCTTTAAAATTTATGTAAAGTTGCCAATCTTTGATAAAATTCACCAAAGTCTGATCTGGTCCGTTGACGAATTTTAAGAACGATAACTCTAAAAATTGCAAAATCATAAATTTCTGGTTATTCCCCTTTGATGATGTAAAATATGATGTAACTTCAAGGCCATTATCGGAGTATTTTTATCACAACATGATAATAACAATCGGTATCATTAAAAAATTTAAATCTTCATCTTTAAGACAGAAACAAATAAATACACGTAACTCTTAAGTATTGCCTAAAGTTGTCCGAAGCAAGGTAAGTGTCCGATGCATGATGAACTCACCCTACATGTTTACGTACTTCAACTTTTGAAATGCCGCCATTTTTTGCCCTTTGTCGCGTTTCGGTAAGTTGTTTGTTGGGACTTTGCACATTTTACGTACTAGTTAATAATTACTAGCTACTTCCGGTTGTTACGTAATACATCCATGTTATAATAGGGTTATAATAATAGGATTGCTTCTTCTTTTTATTTTATATATTAATGAAATTTACGCAAGTAAGTCAGTTGAAATAAATTTTGACTGTATGATTTTTACGATCAACAAGCCCATCGGACTCCTTGAATTTCGATTTTCACTGACCCAACCTCAAAATTCACTGGCCTCCGTCTTCGGACCAGTGAGTTTTCGTGAAGACTGCTGATGGCTAGTCACTGAGCCAGATACTGATATATATAAGAATAAATTACCTTTACTAGAGTATGGAACATGGTTTAGGTTCCCTGAATGGATTTTCTGACTGGTTCACTCCAATTACAAGAGCATCTTCTTGTGCGTGCTGGTTTGTGTAGCTCAGTATACTGAAAAGTATCATTTACATTTGTCATTAAACTTGTGTTAATTGAAATTTTTAATCTTTGAGAATAATCCCAAAGCCACTAATTATGCAGTCTATATCTCACTATCAAACATCATGGTGTGGCAATATGGTGAGTTTGGTAGAAAAGTCTAATACTGTAGATCATTAAATTTTCCTGACACCTTATTTTTGTGAGTTAGTCAATGACTCATTATAAACGAGACATACTTTTCACGAATTGTTAAATTCCTCTACATAATCGTAAGGACTAAGGAACATTTTTATACCCGAGATGAAATTTTCGCAAGCTAATGTTGTCTCGCACAATTACGAGAGAAAAAATTTCTCACAAATAAAAAGTGATTTACAGTAAATTGAAAACAGAGTTTAAATTTAAGAAGGGGCAAAGATAGCATCCTCTCTTGTTAGTTGTAGGGCTAAAACAATTCACCAAAATATAGATACTGTTCAGTATAATTGCTCAGTTCAATGTTCAATTTACTATCTCGATTTTGGTTCTCTGTTTTTCTATAATTGGGTTTGGTTACTCCATAAAATAGATTGGGTTTGACCTCATTTTGATTGTTTGACATGTGCAAGGGAGAAAATTCGACAGAGAAAGTCTCATAGAAATCTGTTAGTAATCACCCTAACAAAGTGCTCTTTTAATCTACAGAAGCACACAAGAAGTGCTCTTTATTGTATCACCTATCCACCTTTTGAAATCAGAATACTTGTTTTTTTTATGAACCTTATAACTTGTTTCTTTTTTAAATGTACATGTATATTAATATTGAAACAATTGAATTGTATCACAAGTACATGTATTGCGATACATATCGTATCATGGAGGGGCATATCATTTCAGCGCTATAGATTCTACTCTCTTGTGTTGTTTTATAGTAGTTGCAAGCATATTTCATTATTTGTCAAAAAATATATATAATTTTTTGCATTTGAATATGAACAAGCAAGCCCCTGTGGACAAATCAATGTTAGTCAGCCTGACTCAGGTGTATATGTAAATATCAAATTTTAATTTAAATGAAACGTAATTATGAAATATGCAACAATGAAAGAGTCTAGGAAGAAAATAAAGAAATACATCTTTCCTTGCTCTTGCTGGGTGGGGCATATTTCAGTACTTACATTAACCAAAGCATTACCCCAAAATTATTCATTTTTTGAACATATAAATATCACAGTTTAGTAAACAGAAATACCCAACAATTAAATTGCTTCATAAGGTCCATTTCACATTATCAACCCAGTAAAAGAGGTGACTGTCCGAATTTGAATTCAGGTATTGATTTCATTTTCAGGATAACATTTTGATTTGACTTACTCTTGTATAGCCTCCGATACAGGAATTCTGTTTACATTAGCTTCTTGTCGAAGTTGTGTTAATTGTTTCTGCAAACTTTGGACTTGAGAAGACATCTTTAGGATGTAATAAACGATGAAAATCACAACAACAGTTTCAGGACACCGATGATGGCTTCTCTCAGAATGCAAGTCTCGCACTCGCGATATCCAATATGGCTGCGCCCATAAAATAACAGGGGAAATTCTAAAAATTACAAATATCGGTTATTGGTCACTATGAGTGATTTGGCATTGAGTGTATCAGCAAAAAATGGACAACAAGTTCGGTATGTACAAGTTACGAACTACTTTATATTTAAATTATTGGTAAATATTAGGAAAATTTATCATGCGTTTTTTTATAAGTTCGAATTTCCTCTCTGGTTAAGCAGGTTTGATCACTAAGTGGCCAGATAGCTCAGTTGGTAGAGCACTTGACAAGTGGTTCAGGAGGCTAAGGTTAATATCAAATGTCATTTTATTTTCTCCTTTCCCGTTGCACTCGTTAATTGAATTAGCTGACTATAGCTCGATAAACCTAGTTGAAAAGTTGATAAAGCTATTTCATTTTCAACAGGTTTTCCACAAAAAATATTTAAATGAGTAAAAACTGTTCAAATCCCACACTCCGTGGTCATTCATTAATCCCTGTGAAAATGGACCCTTATTTAAATTCTCATTTTAATGTTTTCTATGTTAATTCTTTACATCCTTTAATCCATCACCCTCTCTATTCTGACACATTTTTTTTCACCCTTTGCATATCATAATAGACAGGTTACTCTGTATTTGACTACTTATGCATGTATTTGTAGAATAGAAGTCAATTATGTGGCAGTCAAACAGGTTAGATTGCTTGTGGTCAGATTGCTCAGTTAATAGAGCATCTGATTAGTGAGATTCGGGATGCCATTGTCTTATCTGGTACATTTTTCTCCTCTCTGGTACAATAGCATGGTCTATTATAAAAGTAATTCATTAAATAAAATATTGTTTTATTTTTGCTGCTTTATCGAACACTCTTTAGCAAAGCATGCATTAATTGTTATAATTTCAATTAAAACAGTTTAAGGAGGGAGGAATGCTCTAGACATGCAGCCAGGTTCGAATAGCCAGTGACCTGAGATAGCTCAGTTATAATAAAAGCACTTTAATACTACTTTTCTATAGGGGCACTTGCAGGTTTGAATTGTGGTCTAGTCTTACATTCTCTCCTTCCTTGTTACATAACCTCAACCATAGATGTTCTGTCTATATCTTGGTTGAGAGCAAAGCTAGTGTAGGTTTTTGATAGCATCTTTCACAATTTTACTGATATTATCATAAAAGTACAGGAAATTCTCACAGTGTCTGTGAAACAGACCTACATCCATTTATTGCTTAATATCATGTACATGTTATTTGTATGAGCATAGACATTTGCTTTGTCATTGAATTTTTTTTAAGTAAAAAGTTATTGTTGATTTTTCAAGGTTTGGAATAACAATTAAAAAGCTTAAGGACCAAACGAACCTTTAACTTAACAGACCAACTTTGATATTTCAGGGCAGTTAATTTTTGTCTACTCAGCAGTTTTTTCCCCCCTGATCATTATCTTTGTAAGTTTACTAAAAATGCTGTTCACAATCTTTGATTTTCCTGAAGATTTTGACACCACTTGTATGAAATTCTGTGTCCACACCTCATGACCTCTCACAGTCATAGCATTGACACAATTTAGGATCTTGGTAAGTGTAGGAGAAATTGAAAGTAATTAATTTTAATAGTACTAGATGCACACCACATTTCATGAAAAATTTATATTAGCCATTTGAGAATAAAATCCTCAAGATTTGACTTAAAAAAAAACAAAACATTTGCAAGTGGGTGAATCATACAAACATACATACATACACACAAAGATACATACATGTATGAATACGGCATGCTATTTAACATCTGAATGAATGCAAATTGCTTTCCTTAAAACTATGTAAATGATGTCTGACTGAAATTTTTTTCTTACTTTTTTGTGAGACTCTAAAAATAATTTTGCTTTCTTAAACAATGTTAAATGAATGTGTTTCATTCCTAAATAGATGCACATGAGTTCACAAGAAATATGCAACTTGGACTAATTTTCACAAAATTTTTTGTTTAAGTAAAACCAGCTTTTCACAGAATAAAGGTCAAGATTATAAATCCCTGATAAAGGTTCCATGGAGATGTATTGCAAAAAAGATTACTTGTCATCTTATTGACGTGGCTCTGGGATTTGAAATATTGATTGCCAAACATGGGCAATTAGAGTAAATATGTGAGAAATAATCCCCTCTTCTTTCATTTGATAGGATTGGAGCTGCCCATGGGATGATAGCTATTTTGAGATGTACTTTCAATACTTTATTTAGTTTTTCATAATGCATGATTGTTGGCAGTTCCATTGAAAAAATAAATCTCCTTTTCATCAGCTCCTTCTCTCTAGGTTGAAATACACAAATTATTCCATATATTTCAACTCATTAATAACATATTTCTTTCAACATGATTAACTTCAGATTGTCAATAATTATTTATCAGTTGATGTTTGATAGTGGGTTCAGGGCAAAGCCCTGATGGGGGCCCGGGGGAAAGACCCATTTCAGACATATGAAAAAAATTACCAGAAAGACCCATTTCAGATGAAAAAAATTACCACATCATTGTATGTGATAGCTTCCTGGCAAAGTATAGTTTCAAATTTATTCACATCATGACCCTATAGGGGTAGGTTGCTGCCACTATTAGGGATTATATTTTAAATAGGAATATATAGGAAAAATCTTAAAATTTCATTCAAGAACAGCAGTTTATTATAAACTACATAGGGAAGCATCCATAGACAGTGTATAGATTCAAGTTTGTTAAAAACATGACCTAAGGGGGCAGGGTTAAGAGTCATAATACATATGTTATCTCAATTTTACCTAGAACGGGGGGGGGGGGGGGGGGGGGGGTATTGTTTTTTTAAACAAAAAACATGTCTCTCCTTCTGATTACCAACATTGACATAAGCAATTTTACGATCAAGATCAAAAATAATAATGCAGTGCATCTTTCAAGACTTGAAATCAAAATGGTCTAAAGTGATTGTCTGGTCTTCTTTTTCTTTATTTGACCTTGAATGAAGAAAGTCGTCAAGGTCAAACATTTTGATGTAGTGCATTTAGTTTTACCCGAGTAATGTTGTCTTTACTAGTTCCTAGTTTGAAATCCTAATGTCAAGAAAGGTCTAAAGTTATGATTTAGACTATATTTTCATGTTTAAGACTGACCTTGACTTTATTAATAGGTCAAGGTGAAAAAATGTAGGCATTCACCCTTCACCTATACTTGACATCTCCATGTTTTAAGTTTGAAGTCTTAATGTCAGAGGGTTCTCAAGTTCTGGTCTAGTTAAGTTTTCTTTATTTGACCTTGATGAAGAAGGGGTCAAGGTCAAAGGTATGATGCACTGCATCTTGTATTTAATGTCTTCTTGTTACAAATTTGAAGTCCTAATATCAAAGGATACTCAAGCTATGGCCAGGATTCAATTTTGATGTGAAAGTTTGACCTTGACCTTATAAAAATTGGATCAAGGTCAAAAAATTTTATCACATCAAACTTCCTCTATGTGTCCTCTACATGTTCCAAGTTTGAAGTCTTGATATCAAGTTTGAAGTCCTTTTATCAAAGGGTACTCAAGCTATGGCTTATACTCTATTTGGATGTAAAAGTATGACCTTGACCTTGTAAATAGGTCAAGGTCAAAATTTTGGTGGTGTACACTCTGTCTCAAGGTCATCTATTATGTTCCAAGTTTGAAGTCGTTAAGTCAAAGGGTATTCAAGTTACAGCCTGGAAAAAAATTTGGATGAAGAAGAAGAAAATCGACAAAAACAATTATGTCTCCCCTTTGAAGGGGAGACATAAATATAAAGGAAAATCTGCTGATCATCATGAAGAACATAAGGGTCATAAAATGTCTCAGGTGAGCCTAATGGCCCATGGTCCTCTTGTTAGGAATCATGACATCATTGCTCATCAGAATCAAATTCTGATTTGCAGAAATTGTGTATTGTTTCAACTTTTAATAGACTGGTTCTGTGCCACATTTTAATGTTACAGGATGTAAGATGAATATGTTCTTCAACAAGTGTTTGAAAATAGCGTTTTATATAGAGTACAAAATTATTCAGTAAAAGTCCCATTCCCCTTTAACTGGTGTGATAAAAATTTCTGTTACTAAAATAGGAGAGTTCCATCTGGTTCTATCAGTTGAACCATAGTCACCTGTAAGAACTGTAGGTAAATTATATGTTCAGTACTAAAGGAACAATTTTAGCTCATGTTTCATAATTCAAAATGTTAGTCAGTTTTTACTTTTATTTGCCTTGGAAGGAGAACAATGGTTTAGGGAACTGTTGGTTTTGTTGTCATTTTGGGTGGGTTTTTTTTCTACCTTTTTTTAGTCACAAGGAGGTCATACCTTTTTTGTCAATAAGAGCAGTTTTCAAATTCAGGTTTTAATTTTAGTTGATCTTACAATAAGACTGGGACGTCTTTGAAGAAGAAGCTGAGGCTACACTCAGGTCCAGGAAGAATATTAGAAACATTGAATTTTTTTTTCAATTTGATCCCCATAAAAGAGTTTGCTTTATGAATTAACAAAGATATGAAAAATATTATTTCCTGTAGCTGTCTATTTGAACCAGGAAAAAAAAATTCTTAATTCAAATTAAAATTAAAAAACACAAGGAAATATTGATTGTTACACATTTATTTTAACGAGAACCAAAATGAAGAAATTGAATTCTTCATTCTGAAATTATGACTAAAAATTTGATTATAAGACTATAATATATATGACTGACAAACAATTGAAAGCAAATCTGCGGTATTCATAATGAGAGATTCAGAAATCCTAAAATGAATCAAATTAATGAAATCTTTGTATGTGCATGAGAAATAAAAACTATATATGAATCACAGACACATTAAAAAGTCCACACAGATCACACAAAATGCATGGTTCCTCTTGATAAATAAACAGGTGGCGCTGGTGCGAGACTTCCTGAAATAGACGTAAATTAAAATGTGTTTATATTATTTTTCTGTAACATTTCTGATAGGATGCTTCAATGAACTAATAAGATTATTTATATGCTGAAGCATTGTGGCCCATGTACATGTATCTCACATTATTTTTAAACAACTATAAATTTTGGGGTATTATTTTCTATCTCCCCCAAATTAACAAACTAACCAGACAAAGTGAAATAAAAGT